AACACACTTTAGAAAGGAGTGTCCCCAGACTATCAGAAGGCGGAGATCTCTGATTGTCTGGTGGCGAGACTAGTGGATGGAGTGTTGAGGCTTCACTGTAATAACATTTTCCGTGAGCAATTACTCATTTATAAAGAACATTCTTGAAGTAGCTTGCCCAACATCAACAGTTTCTGTATTGTATTGCCTTGTGTCGTACATCCGAAACATGAAACAATCATTTACTGCTCTCTGGTTAAAGGAGCTCTTTATGATCTATGATTCAGAGGTTGTCTACACATGGCTTTCAACATGGAGGTGGTTGAGCCAGGGGCTAGCAGCTAACAGAGCTAACAATGGTAACAGAGCTAGCAGTGTTAACCGGGGGGGAACTGGAGGTTTTGTGATGACACCATCAGCAATAATCAGCTGTGTGAGCACAGTGCAGAGCGGCAGTGGCGACAAGTTAGCATGTGGTATACACAAAGTTGGGGTTGGACTGAAACAACTGTATATAGGTGTATGAACTGTATGTAGGGTCAGGCTGTATACTGTACAATCCTCACACTGACTGGACAGCTGGTAAAACAGGGGAATTGAGGCCTATGTGTCAACTAACCTGCCACAAGTCTTAGCCGTGATACTTTTCATAATGTGTTTGTTGCTCTGTCACACCATGTCAACCTGTCTAGTGTTACACTTTACTGTAAAAACCTGCAGGAAGTGTCTGAATACACCAAAGACACTCTCATCATGGGGCTTTTTTTAATATAAATATTACGGTTCTCTGGCCCATGTACTGACTACCATCCTGTATATGATATCACCAAACTCCTACCTTATGTTAGCTTCAGATTTTCAACACCTCTGGGATGCTACCATTTGGGAGAGAGATGAGTGGAAGTCATTTTTAATTACTCATGATGGACAAATGCTTGTCCATGGTTCTATTCTAGCCAGGGATCTTTGTTGCACGCCATACCTCTCCCCATCCTCTTGTTTCCTGTCTGCTTCTATATTGTCTGGTTCAAAAATGATGAAAATGTTTACCACACCTGATAACTGCGAGTTAAATGCCACCTTTCTGACTCTGCTGGTTAAGCTGAGGTGAACTAAGCTTTAAAAAATAACAGAGGCGATACTACACTTGTGCCTGAGTTTAAACACACCCAGACCCTTCTCAACTATTTATTCTGGAATTGGATACGTCAGATGTGGGGATTGGAGCGGTCCCATCTCCCTGCTCTTCCACTGACAATAAACTCTATCCATGCATGATGCAAAGAAACAACTGTACATCAAAAGTTGTAGAAACCAGCCTGCAGTCTAAGATAAGCTGCTTAGGAGTCATATCAAAAGCACCTCAACCTATGTCTCACCAGTTCACTGGAAATACACACATGCTCTCACAGTTCGGTTTTAATCCAGCATAGCAATGGTTAAGTTTCCGCTTTTTGGTGACCAGCTGGTCCGTGTGATGCTTAGTTATCTGCCAGTCACACCCGTTGCTAACATAGATTATCATACACACACACACGGCTTAAGAAACCGCTTTCACAAAACCCTCACAAGGAATCTTTCAATTACAGCTTGAACAATGACAACGTTGGCTCTACAAGGTATATCCATCAGAAACACAAGCGAGCTGGCGGCAGCTTATGGACGGGCAACACTACAATCTATATTGGATTCATTTCACCATTTGACATGGTTCTTCACATCCAATTCCCTGTTCAGGTTTTCTCACATGAATACCTATTATATATATGATTTTCGATTATCTATTTCACTTGGTGTATGTTTTACCAGAAAATATTAAGTGTCAGACAATAAATGTAGCACACTTCAACCTCATGGGTTTTCATTTTACACACATTCTTCATTCCGTGAACAATTTCCCATTGTTCAGCCAATTCTTTGCACATTCCATCCTCTTCATTTTAAATACAGTATAGCTCTTTTAATTTCAAAACAGATATATTTTACATACTATTTATTTTAAATTTCTGTTATATTTATGATTTTGTCTTTTGCATTACTTGTATTGTGACCAAATACTACGGCAAGATCCTCAAATATGAAAACCTACTTGGCAATAAATGTTTCAGATTCAGCAGACTTCCCTTTCTTTTTTACCTCCCTCTGTATCATTCCTGTTCTTTGCGAGAACTCATTACGAGCTGGTCAGATCAGATCAGTGTATGAGAGGAGGAGCAGCTGATGCAGAGGCGCGTGAATGCAAACTTTCAGACCCAGTGCAATGAATGGTTAAGTTTCGCTCTCAGTATGCCTGGTGTTCTGCTGCTCCAGCTGTGCCAAGAGTGTGCTCTGTTCTCCCAAAGTGTGGTGTGATGAATAACCAAACAGTATACATATATTCTAATAGTGCTCCTGATGAATGGTCCTGCTCCAAACTTTAAAAAGAATCAATACTTGGCAGCAGATGTTATCACGGCGGGCTCACACTAATAAATGAATGTGTGGGAAACCCTGAAGCTACATGCTAACATCAGTGAAACACGTAATCTGGTTGTCGATGTTGTAAATTTCTCCCTGATTTAGGACCACATTACTGCTGCAACATGTCTGGTTGTGTTTAAAAGCTTATAATGGTAATTTCTTAACATGAGAATGTGCTGCCATACACAGTCATTGCCCAGCTCCAAGTACACTGCTACATGCAGCTAAATGCTATTGTCAGGAAAACATAAATCTTGGTTGCCAATGTTTTGTAATTTCACCCTGATGTTGAATCATATTCCTGCTGGAACATATCTGGTTGTCTTTGGAAGCTTTTGTCTGGGATTTTCCATGGCAGAAACAGTAGCTTTTCTCCATTACAGTCATTCCCAGGCTGTAATGATGGCGCAGAGACACTGAGATACAGAGGAACCGTAAACGCTGACCATCGCTTAAAGAGACAGGTGCTAAAATAAAGCATTTCAGACAGTGGGTGAATAACGGTGTTACAGCACAGACAGTATGAGGAAAAGAAAGTGTTTTTGACCATTAACGCATTTAAAAATGTTCCAGTATAATGCTGCGTTCCAGGCAAATTTCTGAGCCCCTAAGTCACCACTTCAAGTCACGACTCACGATTTCATAGCGTTCCAGGCAAGTCAAACTCTCAAAGCAACATGGCAGACCGTGCGGGGTTTATGTTTGTTTATGATCACTTCTGTCACCAAAGGGGCCGGTTCCTTCCTCATTTGAGCGAAACAGAGGAGGAGAAACAGCGCATAAGGTCACAGATGCTATTATACTTTTTATTTTACGTTATCTGTGTGTTTGGAAACATATTTTGTATTGATTTATTCTTGCACTAGAAACCAGCTGTTAGAGCGGCTGCCAATAATGCGTTAACATTATGGTTATTTTTTGTCTATTTCTCACCGTGTACCGCCTGCATCAACACCGCATCCATGGGGACGCCATTGTTGTTTAGAGGAGTAAGGCAATTGGTTTAGAGGGCTGTGTGACTTCAGAAAGCATAACTGGGAGTACATCGATCTGGTACGAGTTCACAGGTGGTAAGTTACGGGTTTGACTGCCGTTCCAGTGCACTTTCACGGGTAGAAGGTTGTAAAAACAAGAGTTGCAGGTTGCCTGGAACGCGCCATAAACCTAAAATAGAGTATGAAGCTGAAAATGATCGTAATAGGTCACCTTTAATTTCACAGAATAAGAGCCACGGCCTTTCTTTTTTATCAGCAGCAAAATGTTTCATTGTCTATGATTAACGCACAATAAGGAGAAGCCTTCATGCTTATGTCAGTTATAAAAATAAATACGATCTTAATTTATCACATTTTCCTTTTTGGGACATTTGGGGACACACACATCTACACTCTGTGTGTGTGTGTGTGTGTGTGTGTGTGTGTGTGTGTGTGTGTGTGTGTGTGTGTGTGTGTGGAGGGGGAGGGTATTATGAACGATGTTTACAGCGGGGTAGTGGAAACTTTTGGGGAGTCATGTGACCAGCTTTGTCCTCTCTTATTATCTGGCAGGAATGTTCATGTTAATCCCTTTATCCTCAAAAAGAGCAAGAGAGAGGCTGGGAGACAGACTGAGGACAGGAATGAGGGAGAGAAAGAGAGAAAGAGAGCGAGGGATAGAGAGAGAGAGAGAGAGAGAGAGAGAGAGAGAGAGAGAGACAGACAGACAGACAGACAGACAGACTTAGAGCTAAATCCTCTCCTCTCAGTATTCCACCGGTTCTCAGAATCAGAGGAACAGGAAGAGAAAGATGGAGACAACAGCCAAACTGAGAGGGACAGAAAGTAAGATAAAGAAGTGGTGTGACAGAAACACATTCTGTCCGAGTCTGAAAAAGATGGAGAGAAAAAAAAAAAAGGCCAGTGAGATGGAGTCAAGGAGCGGTTTAAGTAGCGAACAGGGATCTTCTGCTTTGCAGGCAAGCCAGGAACATAGTAAAAGAGAGTTAAAAAGGGAGGTGATGGGGAGAAATAATGACGAGCATTCAAGCGTGGGGGCACGGAGACCTTACACACAACTGACTGGTTAATGTGTGTGTGTTGGGCTGACATGGGAAATGTGATAGTAGCATTCATCAGCTGCAGTAGACTCCCATCATAGTCTAAAAAAGCCATTCGAGGTCACTTTGTCCTTCTGACAGTACGGGTTGCTTTAACAATGTGTGTCAATGCTAATGTGCCGGTCCGCATGTGAGCGCTTGATCCTGTATATTAAATGCCCTCTCATTCATTTGCAGAAGTAGAGAAGACATCATGCTGTCAAGCTTTCGGTGTACTTTGACCTGCTCGCCCTGTTAACTGACAGAGATCGCGGTGACCTGCTGGGAGCATAATGTATCTGAACAACTAAGATCAGAGAGAGGAAGCAGAGCAATCCATCATCTTTAAGACCTCTCCCTTTGAGCTGAAAGAGAACAGAAGGCTGTGAAGTGAATGAATCAGCATACAGAGACTGAACAATAACTTCAGATGACGAGTTATGACAGTTACAGTGCTCTCAATTATGCAACATGCTCTGGCACCGACCTGCTAAGGAAGCCTGGGAAGGACAGGCGGACAGGGTATCCATAACGGATCATGCGCACCATCTCAAGCACCCCGATGTACTGCAGCTGGGTGGACACATGGAAGCTGTCAAAACTGTCTGGCTGACCACTGGCGTTGGGGCGCACACACTCCACAAAGTGAGGAGTGCAAGCGTGCAGCTTACTGATGACTTCTGACAGCGAGTTCTGAGAGAGTGAAAAGGAAAGGAGATACAATCGAATGCAATCACTGGTAATCATAACAGAACAGGCGATATCTTGTGCTTTGATTAACAACATTTATTGTGCTGTCCGTGCACATTAAGAACTAGCCAAGGGAAGGAAGGGCTCTTTGTCTTCCTCCTTTTGATGTTGTAGCTCGATTTGTGAACCAAAGTGACTGGAGTGAGATCACAAAGTGTTTGAGACAAAGTGGTCTGATTTTTGGGGGTGTGTTTTGCCTCTGGAGGAAGCAAAAACACAAAGAGCTCTTTGCTCTTTCAGAGGGTGTGTGAGAGAGCTTTTCTCCAAGCCCTGAATTCACAGATGCTGCATCCAAGGTCACACAGACACACACATATGCCCACATGTCTGCATTCACGTAAACGCTTGCATCTGTGTTTCTACCACTTTTCTAACTGACGTCAGTCTATGCTCTGCATTCCCTTAGGTACAATGATCAACACCTCACCCCTCATCTTTGAACGTCACTGCCAGCATTTAGCATGCCGTCGTCCACTCCAAACATGCGCATGCACACACACAAATGGGTGTGCGCACGGCACACAGTGGTTGTTGTTCATTGTTCATTCATTCATGTGGAGGGCTTCATGCTTGGCTTGGTACAGCATCATTCTTCAGCCCACTCTCTCCTTCCCTGCCATTCCCTGAGGGACTCGTCCACCACAAGCCCACAACTCTGATTGTGCAACACACTGCCTTCATTCAAGCCAAAGGTACTGCTTCTCTGCAGCACATTTCAGCCCCGTTGCGTCACCAGCAGACAGCGAACTATTTTTCCTCTAACTGAATATTATTGTTGCTTTATATAATTATTAAAATCACAGTGCCTTGCAGAGATTTCTTAAAGCCAAGACTTTATTCACACAAAACCTGAAGTTTCATTAACAAATTCCTGCATTCATTTGAGATCTGATCCACACGTTTGCAGGCACTCTATGAAGGGAGCAGGTATCCAGTAAAATAAAGACAAAGATACAATGAACTAAGTTACACTTGTATATACTGACCTTTTCCTAACAGCTGAGGGCTGTTGTATACATACCGCAGTAGATGCTTGCTAATGATAATGACAAACACTGTTTCAGTGGTTTGCTTGGCAATATGTAGCTTAATTCTTCTGTGCATATTTCTTTACTATTTTGCAGAGGGACTGTGAGACTTCAATAAACTCACTACATCCATGCATTGGGCAAGAGGCAGGGCACAGTGTGGGCCAGGCGCTAGGCTATTACAGGGCTAAAACATTCTGACAGACAAACACATTCAACCTGCACGCCTTTGCACTGTGAGAGGAAACTAGTGTGAGAGAAAAAACCCATGCAGAAGACATTCATACTTCGCACAGGCAGAGTCCTGCACCCTGCAGATTAGGACCTTCTTGCTCTGAAGTGCTAACGAATGAGTCAACATGCTCATTAGACACAAATCGCTCTACTGAGCTTGACTTAAGCCTGATTTATGGTAGGGCGCTCAACAGTTTTGATGAATGTCTCTCAACAGAAATTCAACGGTTGCGCATCATTTTCAATTTCAGCTTCAGCAAAAGCTTCAAAGTTGTCTCCTTGGTAAAACACCCTGCATTTTTTTTACAGTCCGAGACTATTTCTGTCGCCTACAGTCAGTAAGATGGGAAATAAAATCAATGAAAAATAATTACAAACAATGTTGATTTCTTCCAATGGAGCTGATTTGAATTTTGGTTCAGTGAATGTGTCCTGTCAGTCAACCTGGTGAAAGCAGTTTGGTTGGCCTCTGTTCTCTCAACTCCAGAGTAGCTGTGGTTGACACACGGCTGCTTCTGCTGACAAAGAAGCTGAGTGCAGGTCGGAGTCAGTGTGAACTGAAGACTATAATCTCCATGATATAACAAAAATCTCCAGGTGTACAACACTTTTTCTCTTGGAGATACGTCATTTCTGTCGAGTGAACATCATCAAAAGTGTCAAGCACTCTACCATTTATCAGGCCTACCCTGGCTAAGCGGGCTAAACTGACTAGCATGCTACTGCTGATAGACAACAACTACTGTGTTGCAGAAACTTTGCAGATAAAACTCATGTTCCAGAATGTTGTTCCGTATATCTACATAAATAGTCTGAATAAATAGACTACTCAGATTGTTGGGGTCACAGGATGTAACCTAATGTATGCTACATACAAACTGAACGTCCAGTACCAAACACTAACTGACTGTTATGGAAAATAAAACCAAGCATGATGGTTTATGTCTCAGAGAATTAGGCCTGACCCTGTCATACACTACACTGGACGGGAGTGGTTCTTACCCTCAGCTGGACAGCCACTGTGATGGGCCCACAGCGCTCTAGTCGTTGGAGGAAGGAGCTCGAGCCTTTCTTCTTCAAGATCTGAAAGAGAAAACACAGAGAGGAAAAATTATGAGATAGCTCCGCATCTTACTTCAAGTGGCCACTGAGGAATATGGAATCATTACGACATAATCATTACATATTAACATCAAATTAGGCTGCGTGGTTTGACTATAGATCAAAACATGAGACTTGAAAAAACCTTTTGTCTTGATTCTGTGGACGATGTTTGCAAAGCACACTAAAGAGTCCCATTAGACCACTTCTCTATCAGTCCCATTTATTCTGTTTCATGTGCTTTTCAGCCCAACCCGGCCCATGGCATCTATCGTCTTCTATTGTCTTTATTTATTGTTTTACACCCAGTATAGCACTGCAATATTACCTAATGTTACCGTATAAGGCTGCTGGGACAGATCTGGGAGGTGAAAGGGGTCTTATGTAAGCCTGTTCTCTCGATGGCTAATGAGCCACAGAGACAGCAAGCAGGACCCCCAGGAGGTTACACAACCAGCAGGCCTTTCCAGTCACATGTGCACCACCAGTACAACATGATTTCTAAAACATTAAATTAAACGGAGACAGAGATAGAGAGAGGGGAGAGGAAGGACTGAAAAAAGAATATTTAGAATATCTTTATCAGTTGTGTGATTTGTGGTTTTATGATTGTGTGTCATAGAAGAAGTATGTGATCACATGACTGTGCATGCATGCATGCTTGTGAAGTCTCTATCTGAAGCAAATCCAATTCCCAGAGGTTTATATATAGCACTGTGGTGGGAAGTAGCTTAAATTAGACTCTTTTTTTGTGCCAAAAATACCATCCCTGTTTTTTCATTGATCAGCACAGCAATCAGTTGTTCTGTTGGAACAAAGAGCTTGTGACAGATTGTCACTGATTGTGTTTGTTCAGCTCAATAATTCCTATATTTTATTATCCAGTTTTAAAAGCTTGTATGAGCATCAATTGCAAAATGATAATATATTTAATAGCCAGAAAATGAACATGGTCTTCAACATCCTTTGATGCTCAAATGTATTTTTATATTACTATAAATTCATGAATCAGTACAACTGCAAAATATCCAATGTATTTATTTTAATTTGCTTGTTATTATTATTTATGTGTTTTATACACCCTACGTATGAACGGAAACAAAGGAAGAAAAACCTACTGCTACAAACATTTATATACATCGGAATATATTCACTCATGCATGCACACGCAAATACTAACATCCACATAGGCTATAAATTAACTTAAAGGGTCGTTAGGGGGTTTCGTGTGTTTCTGTTTCTCATTGAAGATGTGGGCGATAGGCTATGTTTATTTGTTTTCCCAAGCTCTGTCTCTGTTCATTTGCAGCTTATTTTGTCATCTGAATTTAAGTAATTTCATGAATTAATTAATGGCTTCCTATGTCATTCATCTGTGTAAACAAATGTCTTTTATACTTGGTCTCTTCGTTTCTAACTATATGTGTTAGCCTCTTCATTTCTGAGATTTCCCGTATGGTCTTCCGTTTTTGAACTAATGGGCCTTTGGAGTTTCAGCCTACTCCTTGTGATTTGCATCAGGGCCTTGACTGTCTCAAGGTCTTGTTCAGACTGCCAGCCCAAATGGCTTCTTTTTGGCATATCTAGATTGTATCCAGAGTGATTTTAGGAAATCTGGACAGCAAAAAACGATGCGAGATGCGCTTTTTGCAAATCTGATCCACACCACATTTGGAGGTGGATTGAAATGCGATTCCAATCGGATTTCTACAGATGTATCTCAGTCTGGACGCTCTGGATGCTTGAATTGGATCTCAAAGTGTCTTTGAACACAGCACAAAAAAACAACATCAAATCCAGAGTGATGGAAGTGCTGATCTGATCCATGCTACTACCAGCAAAGTGCTAAAGAGGACAACATGAGCAACAACAGTCTGTGGACAGACGGAAAACTAAATTGTTTCGGAGGACCTTTTGTTCTCATGCTTCCACGTTGGAAAGCTGTATCACCAGCGTTGCTATGTAGATGCTGTGATGACGCCTGCGTTGTCATCATAGTAAGCAGATAGATTGATGTCTGGACACACAAATCCAATCTGACTGCTTCCAAATAACAGAGTGGACAGTCTGTCTTCACCAAACACAGGCATTCCACTGGGACTCTTCCAAGGAGACAGGTGTTTGGAACTGTGTGAACTTTAAGTGAAGTTATTTTAAGATATGTCGTCACCATGTTTCTTTTCCCTAACCCTAACCACAGCAACTTTACTTGCCTAAATTAACCTCTGTAACTTTACAGTGAGGACGTAAAGGACGCTAATTTGTAGGATATCTTATGAACTGTTGTATGAAGGTATGTTGACTATTGAGTTGGCCGTAGCTATTGCAACAGCAGACTTGCATGTGTGGCTCATGCACTCACCCCTCTGTGAACAGCGTACTATACCTTGGTAAGGTCATGGTACCTCCGGGGCTGTTGGTGAACAGTGTTGGCAGTGACAAAAAAGGCTGATGGCATCCTGTGAAGCAACAGGGCAGCTTTAGGCCCCCTTAACCCAGCACGGCTCTGGGCTGCTGGCACCAGGGAACCAGTCTGAGTCAGCTTGGACTGGAAGAGCTGCTGGAGTAACACACTCTCGCTGGCTGCCGGGCACAAAGCACATACAGAGGAAGAAAGAGAGAGAGAAAAGAAGGAAAATGACGATGAAAGAAGCAACAGCATTGGTGGAAATAAGGGGGCGGAGGGGAGTAAGGAAAGGTGGAATGAACAGATAGACAGAAAGAAAGGAAGGAAGAACAGTAAGGAGGATGTAAACAAGGACAGAAAGAGGCATCAGAGGAGGAGTGAGGGAGGGGAGAAGGCATAAAGTTGGGCTCCATGTAAACAATCAGTCAGGCAACAAGAGGGGGTGGACCATGCCACTCGACAACACGTGGAGCAGTCCACAACAACAATGAGCTCATTCAGAAAGCCAAACATGTGTGTGAACGTGGGCGTGTGGCTTTCATCTGAAAGGCTGGGAGAGAGGGAGAGAAAGATGGAGAGAGTGAAAGGGGAAAGGATGATGGCAGGTAGGCGTACCGAGCAAAGGAAAACAAACACGAGTCCTGGACTCATTTAAGGACTTAATTACACACAGCTCCGAGGGCAATTGTCTTTTCATTTAAAGCAATCACTGCCACCACCTGAATATAGACTTACATAGATCCCCCTGCACTCCGGTTAGCTTAAAGGCTTAAAATTAAAGTGGGGAGGGGATGACATCCGTAAGAAGTGACCACGCAGTGCGTATGCCAGTGTGTGGGACTGAATGGCAGCGACGCATCGACTTGGTCAGATGGAGGGACAACAGCCAAGTGTGAGTGAAGGGCTAGCCTTCAGAAGATTAGCCTCATCATGGAAATTATAGCAATTAGGCTGCTGGATGGGAGGCTAGCCTGGCAGCCACACAACGACTGCCTGTGTCCTGCTAACCACAACACCCCACATCTGGCACCTTCTATAGACAATATACACACAGACGGTGCTGTCTGCTGCATATGGGATGAAACACACACGCATACAAACACCACCACACTTAGACAAAGAGTGGTTCTGTGTGCTGTTGGTTTAAACAAGAGTGCATCTTTGTGATCAAGTGTGCTCTGACGCCACAATGTGCTCATGCCCGTGTTATTCATTGGGTACTTACACTTCATCGTAAACAGGAGATTCTGAGGGAGGGAGTCCTTGTTTCTTGTGAGCGATCCTGTGAGGTCATATGAAATCTGAGGGAAAAACAAATCATACATTTATACAGTGTGTTTAATCACATAGGCAACAGAAAATTAAAAAAAATACTAGTTAGATTGACCTTTTTAAAAGCACCAAACTAGCTTTTGTTGCTATAAAATGTGGTGGCATAAAACAGGGTTCCCACACCTTCTTTAAAATCAAATTCAAGGACTTTTCATGGACTTTTCAGGCCCAGCTCCCTCAAATCAAGGACCTGGCACGTCACAGTTTGGACGTGTCATGGATCAAGGTTACTGATACAACAGAGAATATTTGTACTGAGAAGTAGCAGGCTTTACAGAATCTAACATTCTTGCACAAAATATATAAATTCAAGCACTTTCACTTACTTACAAAAACTTCCAAGGCCTTGTTTTTTATTTTAACCTCAAATTCACAAACTTTAGAGCTTTTCAAGGAGCCTTGGTAACCTTAATAAAAAATATTTTGCTGAAAAACCTTCATCTTCTTGTATGTGGTGACAGAATATCTTTTTTTTTTTTTTTTTTTTAATGTCACATTGAGCGTGGACAATCGTTACCTCGTCTTCTAAAGAAAATCATTATTCAAATTATGGCAACAATGGCAGCTCAATTTTCCCCCGCATAGTGCTTGTTAGGAACGATAAATGGAACTATTATAGCAGGTTTTTTTAAATCAAGTGTCGCCTATTTTTTCAATCTCAATAAAAGACATTTTTATTTTTGTCACTGGTTAACTGGCTTTAGAAAAGTCAGGAGGTTTCTGATGTAGAGAGGAGACAGCCTACAGTCACATGTTTGCCACCTTTGCACAAGCACGATATAATCTATAGCAAATCTTATTTTTTAATCATTTCTTACCTGTAGGGAAATTTAATTTGTTACATAGACAAGTTTAGACACAATGTTGATTGAATAAGCCAGTTTAATGTTAATTAATAATTATAGATAAAAGATGATGGATCTAATTTAGATTGCACAGGGTTCCTACACAGTATGGGAAAATATTAAAATTTGATCTGAAGTAATTTTCAGGTTTGAATAAGTATGCAAAAAAAAAGAGGGTGTGGAAAATTTGTGTTTTCAGTCTATTGCCCCCATTCTGTATTTTTTTTTTTTTAACAAATAATTCCAATTTTCCAAAAATGAACTAATCATACAAGCACAACACAGCCAGTGCAGCCAAAATGTTTACCACTGTGTGAGACAGTGAGGGCTATAGCAGATAATTGAAAGAGGAACGGTGTCCATCTCAGCGGAGAGGTGTGGACTCAATGGTCGCAATGGGAAATGCAAGTTTTCCGAGGGATAATGGATATATGGTCTGAAAAATCTACAGAGAAGTGTGGAAATTTGAGTCTGGAAAGTATGGAATTTTAAAATGGAAAATATGTAGGAACCCTAATTTTAGCAGTGGAGCACGGGGGGTCAGCTTGATAACTTCTTCTGTGTATTATCTGGCAGTTTGTTGAGGCTCTGTTGATTGAGATCTGCAGTAAACTGCATTATTTTTACATTAAGTTGTCATTAAAGTTCACAATTTTCAGTACTCTGTGCTGTAACATGGTGGTTGATCCACTGACCAGTTGCCTTTTAGAGGTCATGATATAGTTTTTATGTTATTCTGCCCAGCCCCACCGACTCTAAATACACAGATACATGTTTCTGTAATACACACAGACCTGTCCAGCATAGTGGCTGACAGTGAACGCTGGTCCCTGGTCTTTGGGTGGGGGATTTCCGTTGCCATCCTTCGTCGTGAGCGAGAGACCGTGAGTTGGATTGGAGTCCAGCTGGGTCGACAGCCTCTTGTACAGGGTCTGCTCTGATGGCCGCAGGCTCTGGCTCTCCTCATCTAACACACACAGCAGTCCCTGAGGCCTCTGGAGGAGGAACAAGCAGAAGCTCTCATGTTATTTAGGGTCAGCACTTTTGATAATAACACTACTAAATTGTTTTTGATCGTGACATTTTTGTTGATCCCTGTAGGGTAGAGTTGTCCCTCTGATACCAAATAACTTCAGTCATCTTCCTCTTTTTAGATGTTTTGGGCATTTTGTTCATTATTGAAAGAGAGGGAACACGGGATGAAAGGGCAACATGCAATTAAGGTCAACCAGGGTCATACTGCAATTTAATGGTGCAAACCTTAAGCACTGGCCTATCACCAGTCCTACCAGCCATATTCAGGTTTGAGTTTATGTTTTTACATGACCAGTTTTCACACTAGGGGTGTTCCCAACTGAGAATTTATATAGTTGAATCTTATTGGTCAGGATTTCTGGATTTATTTTTCAATTGGAAGCGTTCCATCCAGCGCTGTTTGTTGTGTGTAGGTGGTGTGAGTGTAGGTGCGGCACTGCCCATAGTACTGAAACGTAAAGGATGAGATCGATAGACAGACGGAGGGAACACGTCACATAGGTCAATTTCTTAACCTGCTTGCTTTTTGTGGTTTTAAATGCAACTTTTGGCCCTGCGAGAGGCAAGCAGCTGTTTCTATGCGCCTCTCCCTGCTGATTTTGACAGAGAATCATTCATACATTTAAAAAAAGATTTAGCGCTCTGCTAGTTCTATGCTCTCATGAATGATCTGATTAATACATTTACACATAAAAAGGCTATATATCGGGGCGAAAAATGCCCCAAAAAATATCAACAAAAAAAAGAAAAAAGAAAAAAAAAAGGCTATATATATCATGGTTTATAGGGCAAAACCAAGCAGTTCTATTTTAAATCAGAAATTTGGCACCCAGTCTGAATGGAATGATCCACATTTTCCCGCCACTGCAACGATTCGACTGGCAGGCTCCTTAGATCGAACTGTAGGACTAATGGTGGTCACCCCTACGAGTCTGTAATGCAGCTGTCGATCATGTCAATCAGGGTGCCTGAACTGCATTAAGACCACAGACTACGTAAATAATGGATGTAGTTACGGTGACATCACCCATGGGTTTGTGGACTGCTGTTTTGAAGCCTTGAGTTTAGCACTTCAGCTGTTGCTCTCTTGGTTTTTTGGAGTCAGAAGCCACCATTTATGGGGGAGAGGTTGGAGCTGTAGAGGAGCAGCCCCACCCTTAAATTTACTAACTTTGGTCCTAATAAAAATGTAAAAAAAAATTCACGGGACGAAAACCTGTTTTTGTACCAGGCCAATCACGTTTCTTTCTGCTGTAAAGTTGGGCACTTCAACATAGATGTCTATGGGAATGTTTTAGATATTTCTTAGGGCATTTTTGCCTTTAAATGATAGGACAGTTGCTAGTGTGAGGGCAAAAGGAGAGGAGGTTCAGCATGCAGTGGAGGGCAAGCAGAGGGCTGCAGGCCAGAATTGAACCCATGGCCAATGCAGTAAGGACAAGGTCTTTGTACATGGGCCGAGTGCTCTCCTAGGTGAGCTAATAAGTGCCCCAGGAAATTTACCCTGTTTTGGAGCCAGCCTCAAGTGGCCATTCAATGAACTGCTGTTTTTTTGCTTCATTTTTCATGCCTGGAGGTTGCTGCTTGAGTGAAGCAGTCAAACTAGGCAAAGGTGATTAAAAATGAATCAAGATTTTCCCCCTTTCAGAAATGTATTTTAGTGTACTGTTTAGCTGTAAAATGACGAGCAGTGATTGACAGCTGCTCTAGAGACTCCTCAGCTCCGATCAGGTGATTTTGTTCACGTTTATTGAAATCCTGCTAAGGCCATTAGAAGCACAAGGAGAAGGCAAAGGACTTATGATTTTTCAAATAGACTATCTGCCTCTTGTACTACTGTCAGGATAAAGTGACAGGTTCAGCAAATATGACTAAAAGTTTTTTTTTAAACAAAAGTTAACTTCTACATCTTTAAGCCATGTGATTTTAATGCTTTTGTCAAAGCTCTGTGTGGGCCTTGCAATGTTGAAATACATCATGACACATCAAACTGGACTGGTCCAGACCAGCAACACACAGCACCTGAAGAAAGAAGTCCAAAACAGCTGGCTGGTTGCTGGGGGAGCATGGGGTCTCCATGGCGATGCCCTCCTGCAGACACTCAGCCTGCTCCTGCTGGAATAGCACCTCAGAGACGTACTGCCTCAGCTGCTCGTTGGTCATGTTCACGCACAGCTGGAATGTACACAACACACAAACACATTCAACCTGTAAACACACACTTTAGTGCACGTCATGAAATTCCTCCTCAGAGACGGGCGGCGCTGTGTGTTTGTTTTGAAAGCAAACAAATGTACTCAAATACAAATCAAACACACGCTGCTGTGGCACCAACGGTGAGGTCAATGGGGCATGAATGAACCGACTACTCGTATAACACACCTGACCCCAAAATGATGAAAGCTGTTTACAGGGACACCTCATGCATGGTATACAAAATAATGGATGTCCCTATGTAGGGTCTTTATCTATCACAATATAATACGGACAAAGTGTTCCTGCTGGGACACATGAACTCTTCCTAACCCAGAAATCACAGCGAAGCAAATGGGTTTGCCTGGCATGTAGAGCTCTGGAGAGGAGGCTCAAGTGTGACTTGTCACATTGATGTAGTGAGAAGGAACACAGAATATGAAGAGGAACAACACAGGACAGCAGACTTGTTTAAACTTCTCCTGAACCCAAATGTGTCACAGAGCAGAATACAAAAAAAGTCTTAAAGTGTTGTAGTCTAGGAATGAACTTGTCATTCTTGTACTGTGTCCCTCTTTTCAACCCGAGATCTGATGCTTCTATCTTTTGTAGTCTTAACGTCATGGCATCTTACACGAGAATAGATGCCAGACAGATGTAGCCATGTGATAAAAACATGAATCTTGTAGGCTGACAAATAAATTGAAAGTGAAAGTACTGATGCTGTGCTCAAATAAAGCCCGTAGCCCTTAGCTTCGGGGTGATGTTGTTTATCCAGTCACAGAAGGAACTGAATGTTCATTTGTTGGTGTGGAAATAAATAAACAGTTTTTCTCTTTGGGCGCTGTCATGTGATTGTACCGGAACAATGCCATGACCCACATTTTCTTGCAGCCCGCTGATTGAGAAGTGTTGATCTAGAGGTGTGTTGTGCTGCGGTGCCGTCGGCTGTGGTCCTGTTTTTCTTTCATCCGTGTTTGTCTTTTCTTTGTCTTCAAGCTAGTTGAGTATATTAAAGGCTTAGTCCCAGCAGGTGGTTGATTGAGTTAGCTCATTAGCAAAGTGCTGAGCAGGTACAACACACCCCTGACAAACACAGCTCTAATTAACAAGCACTAATGACCCTGATCTTGCTGCGCATGTGGAGCCTGTCTGTGTACGTGTCTGAACGTGTGTACAAACATATCAAAAGTGTGAGGGCTCGTTTGTCACTGACGTGCCACATCTACTGTAAGAGATCATCGAGTTTGTTTATCCAGACCTCGCTCCTCCTCTTCTCTTGTCTGTGGGTGGCGGGTAATGTGTGTGATTTCAACGGGCTGATTATTAATAGGCAGCTCAGACAGCAGCAACAATGGGGAAGATGTCTGGGGGACAGAGGCGGGCGATGCCACCGCCTGCCAGAGACAGCGTCGCCTTTTTTTTCCCCCTTCCCAGTTTTGTTAGCCTCCTCCCCTCTCTTCCCCTTCTGGCACTTGCACTCTCCTTGACCCGAAGGAGGAAAGGTCACGCAATCCCTCGCTTCCACTTGGATTAGAGGCCATCCAGGGAAAGACTAACTCCACAGACATCTCATCGCCACACACGCAAACCAAAGTCACATACAGGCACGCAAGCAAAGACAAACACACACTGGCCTTAATAAAAGCTGGGGGGAGATTGGGAGTTCAACATGGGAGAAACATAAGCTCTGGGTAGCAGAAATAAGCATTTAGCCTCCTGAGTACCATGACTTAAACCCCAAGACACCCTACACACACACACACACACACACACACACAGATAGTGATATACAGACTTGTCATCCTGGTCTCTGCTGGTCTTACAAAGGTTTAGCCTATTAACAGTGAATGCTTGATGAGCACATGATTTACAGATTTACAGCCCATAAGAGGTGAGCTACAGGTTGTACTCTGTACACTACGCAGTGTAATCACACACACTGATATAACGAAAACAACCAAGCATCACAGACACCCTGATCCATCTGTTTGCATAGTACGTACAAAAGCACACAGCAAAATACACAAATGTCTACACATGAGGGGTGGAGGAAAAGACAACTGACAAAAACAAGAAAAACAGAAAATCCAGACTCCTATTTTTTATGAATCAAATCAAATTCCCACATTTGAAAGATCAATTCCTGTAAAAATGTCACTGCTTCTCAGTAAACACACTATTTTGTGCAGTCACATGTAGATGTTGTATGATTTGTATGATGCTTTGGAGAAGGAAAAACTATGTTAGCCAGTCTGAAACTTGTTAGATGCAGGATTTCACAGCCTCTCTTGGAAGAAGGAGCGATTAGTGTGCTACTGTCAGGCTCACACTTTAGTGCACTGAGCTGTAATACAAGATGGATTTACTGATGAATATTAAACACTTCTACCAAAACAGTGGCAAAGACTTTCTTTACTTTGAAAAATTGAGGTAATTTCATTGATGTTGATAGTTTCAAGTGATAATATGAGCAATGCAGCCCAATGTGACAAATGTTTAAGGGACAGTTCACTCCAAAATCCTTCTTATCTGTAGTGTTATTCATCAGTTTAGATTATTTTGGTGTGAGTTTCCAAGTGTAAGAGATACGGTATCTGCCACAGAGATGTCTGCCTTCCCTCAATTATCATGGAACTAGATGGCACTTGGCTTGTGGTGCCCAACATGCCAAAAAAACAAAACAAACAAACACAACAGCAATGTCTCTTTCCAGAAACCATGTCCTGATTACTTAGGATAACCCACAGACCTTGTTGTGAGCAGTTTCATGTCGGAACTATTTTCTTTCTACTGAACTACACCCACAAACTGCATCACAGCGTGGAAGGAAGCGTCCATCTACTGCTAGCTCACCTAGCATCACTGAGCTAGCTAACATTACAACTCAGCCAAGGAGGACGCTATTATCTCCCGCTGTCACAAACACGAGCCTCTCGTTCATGAGTAGATGCATGACCTCCTGCGCTGTGATACGGTTGGTGGTTGTAGTTTAGTGGAAAGAAAATAGTTCCTACATGGAACTACTCACAACATCAAGTTTCATCTAGTTCCATAATATTCAACAGAAGGCAGACATCTCTACAGCTGATATCTCCAACACTTGGCAGCTCACACCAAAATAATCTACACTGACAAATAGCACTACAGGTAAGAGGAATAAAATATAGTTTTGATTTTGGGGTGAACTGTCCCTTTAATTATTCGTCAAACAAAAACAGTTTGGAGCAACTTTATTTGAAGATTTGATTTCGAAAGAAGAACAAACTGTGATTTAACCAAAACTCTTTCATCTAAAAATAAGATTCTCACATACATGCTCACACACACTCAAACACACACACACACACACACACACACACACGGGTCTGAAGGTCCCCATTACTCCAACATCTCACACACAGAGCAGTCATTGTGTCAGCCGTCAGTTCATTTGAGGACAGCTGAAAATCACGCCACAGTCAGCCACAGACCTCATCTCATTCATTACAGTACAGACTAAAAGGTCCGGCCTAAAATAGAGAATGGTCCCAAATATTTTCGCAATTTGATTAAGATCTGTTTGAAACTACAATATCACATAGTGTTCAGAGGGATTTCTATTGCCCCAGGATGGCCTTCTGAGCCAATGACGTTAAACGGGGAATGCCTTAAATGCATTTGGCTTGATTAGGAGAAGCAACCTGTGGGCTTCAAGGGAAGATGAACACAGGGGGGACTCATGGGGTTAATGAGAATCTAATCAAATAAGCATATTCCCACCTGCTCAAATCCATTCCTCTGAAATTCTTCAAACCCAAAGACGTCTAAGATCCCAATTTCCAAGGCAGGATCACTGAAAGAGAATAACAGACGGACAGCATGCATTAAGTTACACCACTTTTACTCCAGCATCAGTGAGAGAACTTGTTTGCTTGCTTGCGTCACTGACAGGAATTATGTTTGTGTGTGTCTGAAGGAGGTGTGCCAGCATAGTGAGTACTATGGCTGACAAATTTATTATGTCCTGTGGTTGGTGTGTCAAAAAGGCAAAGCACAAACACATTCCAGAAGATGGAGCATGGGTTATCTGACAGACTGCGATAAGACTTCACAACATCAACAACACCAAGGATTCCATTGGCCTCCACCTAAGAGAGTGCGTGAGTGTGTATTTAAGATTTTTGTGTGCGCAACCTTCACATAAACCTCGGGTATGTGTTCCATCTCTACCTTGTTGCTGAGTATTTTCCATTTTGTGCATGTCATGCAATGTAAACTATTACAAACCTCTACTCTAAGCTATGCGTCATGTCACGACATCAGTGTTGTCACTCCGGAGGCCCTGAATGAGAGACTGCACTCGTGTGATGACAGATACGCTACATTGGTAGTGTTTGTGATAACAGTTAGCAATGCCCTGGGCTTCCACAGAAATTCATCTGCCGGTTAACACTGAGAGGAGAAAAAAAAAAAAAAAAAAAACTCCTTGGAACACACACATGCACACAGAAACACACACACAGCTGTACCCTATGCTGTCATCCTGTCCCTGTAGGTAGTCGTTGGCGCTGTTGACCAGATAGCTGAAGAGGCGTCCGTAGATGGCCTTGGCGAGCTGGTCTTTGTATTGTTCTGACATCTCCACTGTGTGGCGCCGAGTGATCACGTCACCTGACACACAAGGGACATGGCAACACGATTTCTTAACATGTCAACCGATAGCAGAGTGATAGTACAGTATTTATATGGTTTATTTTTTTGATATGTCCCAATGCATGCAAAAGACTGATACATTCCCATTTTTAGCTTATCTCAGCATCTGTACACATATTGGCTGAGAATTTGCAGTACCAATACTATCCAGTGATGCTTGTTCCACTGTAATTATTGATGTAATCTAAAAATAAATGCTGTACTGTTGCTATTGTATCAGTTCAGCACCAGAGAGCATCTATGAAACTATAAAATGTCTTACACTGTACAACCCTGGTCACAACAAGGAGTCCTTTAAACACATGTTTATGTTAAAGGGACATTTCACCACCAAATCAATAGTACATACTTTTTTCTCTTGCCTGTAGTGCTATTCATCAGTTGTTTTGGTGTGAGTTGCAGAGTGTTGGAGATATCAGCCACTGAGATGTCTGCCTTCTCTTAAGTAACTAGATGGCACTCAGCTTGTGGTGCTCAAAGCGCCAACAAACATTTGTAAAGCTCAACATAAATGTCTCTTTCAAGGAATCATAACCCAGTTGCTAAAGATAATCTACGGACTTTGTTGTGAGCAGTTTCGTGTAGGAACTATTTTTCTTCTACTAAACTACAACCGCCAACCGTATCACCACATAGAAGGAAGCGTGCACCTACTAATTGGGAGGCTCACTCTTCTTGGTTGAGCTGTAACTTCAGCTAGCTCAGTGGTGCCAGGTGGGCTAGTAGTACTGTAGATGCATGCTTCCTTCTGTGCGGTGAGACAGTTGGTGGGTGTAGTTCAGTGGAAAGAAAGTAGTTCCAACATGAAACCTCTCACAAGCAGGTCTGTGGATTAGAGCTTAGATCGGGCCCAAAAAACATCCAGCCCCCCCCCCCCCCGAGTCCGTGCATGTTCTGTCCGAGCCTGGCCCATCCCGTCCCTTTAACCGTAATTATGAGGCCGAGCCCGGTTTAAACCCGACATCTTTTTTAAGGATACGAACGTGGACACTGAGGGCTGACTCTCGTCTTTCTTTCTATGGCAAGCCATCGTCATGTACCTCTTAAGTGTTGAGGTCCCCGTCTTTTTGCTGTCATATACCAGAATCACGCTGCACTTGGTACACTCGACACTTTGTCACCGTTGACAGCTCACATGTGCGCGGCCAGTGGCGCTGCCCCTCCCCAGATGTGACAAGTAGTTGGTTCCATAGCCTAGGTCTATTATGAGGAGCCCGACCCGTCCGAGCCTGAAGGAAGTGGCGGGAAATTATGGCCCAACCCGGCCCACGGGTTTGGGCTTGGGCAGAAAATCTAAGCTCTGCTGTAGATTATCTTGAGGAACCGAATTATAATTTCTGTAAAGAGACATTGCTGTTAAGTATTTCTTTGAGCACCACAAGCCAAGTGACATCTAGTTCTATTAACAAGAGGCAAACATCTCTAGGGCTGAGATCTCCGATACTCAGCAACTCACACTAAAACAATCTAGACTGATACAGCACTACAGGTATGAGGAAAATATGTGTTTCTGATTTGGGGGTGAACTGTCCCTTTAAAAATATAAATATAAGCCAATATATTGTGTACAGTTTTTTTAAACCCTTCAATATGTATATGTTTTTCAGCCTCAAAAAGTCTTTCCTCCTGACCATCTGGAGCTATTATTGTTACAGAAAATACATTTTTTCCCAATGCGACTTTTCCCCATCTATTTTCCCCAATTAGGAAAATGTGATTCTACTACTACTGTAGTCCCACATAAACACATTTGACTGACATTACTGTAATGAAGACAGCATTGAGGTTTTTCCCCTACAAGTCTTTGCATTGGAAATCACTCCAGTGATAATCTGGTGAATCTGCTTATGTGCTTGGAATATGTAGGGCCAAGTGATGGCGAAGGCTGGTGAGTGGATACCTTTGAAGTACTGGACGTCAGAGGTGAGGGCGGTGCTTAAGTCACTGGAGCACACCTGCAACAATCCAGCAACTGTGCCGAGGAAGATAGAAGAGGAAGAGGCGGGGGAAAATAACAGGCAGAATTACTGACAGTGACATCAAACATCAAAATAACAGCATTAATCATGACATGCGAGGATGTCCGTGTCAGAGAGGTAGCGCTGATAACATTCCAAAAATAGATGTGTTCTGTCTTGCTCTGATGATGATATCATGCTGCCAGCACAACAAGCTCTGCTTCAGATCACTTCTGCTTAATCGATCAGTAGGGCTGGCAGCAATTAGTCATCAGTGGATTTCTGAGCAAAACACATAAACAAGCAGCAGAAACAAGGTGACAGCGGCCCAGAATCCCTCTGCTGACGTCACTAGCCATGACATCACATCCCCCTGACAACGACTGTCTCTTTCCCGTTCAGGCACTGCCGTCATTTGTTTACCATCTCACTAAGGTCAGGGGTCACAGGAGCAAATGTCGCAGTTGCAAAATGAGGGAGCGAGAGAAGGAGAGAAACACCAGTAGCGGGAAAGTGGATGTTAAAGAGGACTCTTTCCTCACCGTGGCAGAAAATGCAGCTTACCAAACAGGTGACTGCCTGGCCTTTAGCTAATGCTGGCAAGAAGTCAAAAAAGGGAAACGGAGGAGCGATGACGACAAGGTAAACAAGAACGGTGGGTGTGATGCACCCCTCCTTCCTGATTCCACCTCCATGCAGGGTGGAAATGTGACCGCGGTCATGTGACGGGAGGCACTGACCTCTCTCCAGCAGCTGCAAGTCAGAGGGGAAGGCTGTATCGGCATCTGTCAATGCAGTAAAACGTAGGTCCCCAATATGGAGCACAGCGGATAGCAGCACAAACACTGAGTCAACCTCCTAGCAGACAACAAGAGAGCAAGAGAGAGAGAGAGAGAGAGAGAGAGAAAGAGGAAATAAATATTATCCACCAGCAGTTGGAAATGAGTAAAATATTGGTGCAATCAAAAACATGAATTTCCCTTGCTGAGGAAATTGTTCATGATCCTAACCTCTTTAAAAAAAGAACAGGACTGGGGATATTCATATCTATTCATGTTAACAAATCCCTTTAAAACAGATAATAAATGCACAAATAGAAAATCCAAATGATGCATCAACCCTCCTCCCTTCATTCACACACTTCTCCTCCTCCGTCCCACTCTCCCTTCCTCTCTGCCCTTGAGTAGAGGGCGCTTAATGGAATACCCCATTACCCACTGCTCTGAATCTCTGAGAGGGGGATGTTCGTGTTTGAGGGTGTGTGTTTGTACATGTGTGTGTGTGTGTGTGTGTGTGTGTGTGTATGAATATGTCTGCGTGTGCACTCTCGCAAGGCAGGATATTGGAGCTGATATCTGGGAGATAAACACAAGCATTAGTCTCTGTCTGACACTCTATACACAGAGAGACTCCCCCCCGCTTAGGAAGGAGAAGAAAGGGAGCGAGGGAGAGAAAAGGAGCGATAGGGAGCGTTAATGACGATTGACCTTTGGGTCTGGACTGGGAGTCTTCCCCTGATTAGACTTAGACAGAGACCAATGGGTGGTCTATCACTTCCACTCCGACTCCCCCTCTCCTCCATTTTCAGTCCCTTGGAGTCTCTCTCTCTTATCCAGTGGACACCGGTGCCCTCTGATATAAGACTATCTATCGCTCTCTCTCCTTCTCTCCGTCCCCGAGGCCTTGCCTGCGTGTATTGACTGCTGCTGGATTAAAAGGTGAGATGTTGGTCACTCACTGCTGACAGATGCTGACTGGGAATCTAAGAATAGAACGATTATGGGCTGGGAACACGGCTGGTGGCGCGCAGGACGGACTGTACCACACACTGCAGCACCCTACATGCACACAGCATGTATAAATCAAGGTCCTTGTCTTCTGCATTGGATCACACATTTCATTTGGTCTGTAGATTGTTAATTGGAACACATGATGAGTCCCAATCCAAGAAATCCACACATGACTGGCTGAATAAAAGCCACATTTTACCATCATCATCACTTTACCGTTTATACACTGTCACTTAATGTGTTACAGCTATGACCTCTACATATTTATACTTATCGTTATGCACATACATTTACTAGTTTCCTGTGTACATTCAGTTTATTCATTTTCAATGATTGTTTTATTTGTGTCATTTTCTTTTATATTTTATATTTTATGTATGTATCCCTTATTTTAACTGTTTTGTGTTTAGGTTCCCATTTACTTTTACTTGCAGATCTGGAAGGATGCTCGACTTTGAAGCCAGTTTTGCATAGTGGCCAAACGGTGAAAATACGACTTCTAAGTCAGTCACGTGATGCCATTGGGCCAAAAAAAGCCTTTTTCCCATAGACTTTCATTGTGAAAGAGATGTCTGTAAATCAGTGGATACATTTTTTTTGAGTGTCAGTTGGATAATGCACAATTAAATTATTTTACTCCCTTTCAAGTTAGCTAAGCGCTCAACTGGAGGTAGCTGGCTCAGCTGGCAGAGGTCTCTACTGCACTCGCTGTATGGGCCCACTGGTGTGGAAGCAATGCTGATCATCCAGGTAATTTTATACACGGCATTTGAATGTTGTTTTTGGCTTCATGCGACACTGAGCAACTTTCCCATGAATGAACGGGGTACTGTACTTTACCCAGTTCTCTTTATACATCCATGGGTGGGATGGTCTTCACACAGATACAGAAACTGATATCAGCAGTAACTGCCCTATGAGCCCAGTGCACAAACTAGCTGGTGGGATACACTTACAGGGACTCACATGTACTAACAGGCACGTGCAGTTCTACATAACATCAAGAGACAGGTAGTGTGACATCATTCTGTGCTCTGGACGCTATAACTCCACTTTATCTTTCCATAGCATGATGGTTTGCTGAGCTGCTCTGAAAGATGAATACAGAAACTTTACATACAGAACAGGCCGAAGATGCTCGTCTCATTTCAAATACGTCTTGTGCCTGGACTGGGAGGACACACTGTTGTGTCCTTTGCATTCCTCAGTATCCCACAATCAATTATGCAGCAGTCAGTTGTTTAATGGGGCGTGGTTTATCCTCCTCAACTTGGAAATTACGTGCAACCATGCCGTTGTTTACCAGGTGTTACTGGGTCATACATTTTGTTATATTTGACTTTACAAATTGAACAGCCTATAAAATTCAACATTAGATTTGCTCTCTGTGAAGTGAGAGACACATCCTCTGGAGGATCCAGCCCCGTGATTCAGACACACTTACACACTAACCTTGGGTAAAATCTCATCAGTGACCTCATATGTGGCGACTTCAGAATCTGTGACATCAACACTTTGAATGATCCCAGCTGTCAATATCATTTGAATAAACAGGCTCTACAGAAGCCATATGCGCTGCCGATCAATACCTGCTTGTTGAATCCCAGGGCTCGCAAGGCTTGTTTGACTGCTGCAAGGCGTTCCCTGCTTTGGGTAGAGGCTGTAGCTACTGGAGGTTTCTCCCCTGGAAGTCCCCCACTTAGATACCTAGAGTAAGGACAGACAATCACAAGAACAATATAAACATAAAAGGCAATGTGTGTCTTCTGATGAGTGTACAGGTGCACCGGTCCCAAACATCTACCCGTGTACTCAGCAGAAATTTATGCGCATATCTTTGGATGAGAGAGACCTAGAACCAAAAGATTTACGAGGTGGTTTTGTGCATACGGTCCTGGTCACACTGTGCTGAGAGCAGTGTTTGGGAGGTAGGGAAAGAGCAAACAGGGTTTTAAATCTGCAGAACTGGATCGCGCACACCCAGCAAAGACACATGGAGACACAATGGGTTGGAATGATGCCAGAGAGCTCAGTGTACTTTCAGGCTTAAGAACAGTGCAGCTCAGGTCAGTGGTTATCACTCTGGTGGTGTACGGGAGATAACAGAACAGTAAGAGTAACCCACAATCACACTGTCACTCTACATGTAAGGACACACATGAGTAAAGATGTGCAACACAAACACAAACAAAAATATGATAAAGTAAGAGATGCACACGCATATAAATGAGCACATATGGACATGCAAATACACACTCTCTCTCTTGAGGATCTCAAATATGAATGTATATCATCAGTATATTTAATATATATCACCTGTGATTTTATTAACCATTTATATACAGCCACGTACCTATGAGCCAGGACATTGTTGAGGTAAAGTGCGCTGTTCTCCTCCGCCGACTGGCCTTCCGCCATCAGATAGAAGATGTTGAAGTTGTGTTGGTGAGGAGGCAGGTGGACCAGGCGAGACTTCTCCAGCATGTGGGCGTAAACTCGAGCTTAAACATCAGATGTGTTTTATGCTTCAATAACAGGTGTGTCAATTGCATTTCAACAGTGCTAATGATGGTACTGAACATTCAGTCTGTGGCCTCGGCTCAATGGCCAGTGCTCACTGATCAAATTAAGGTGGGGTAAAATGAGGTGAACAGGGCTGTAAAAATGGAGCACAAATACAGACACTGCGACAGTAGACTCATGTCATTTTACTGCCCCCTGCAGGTCTTCCACTGTTCTACATCATCATACAGTAGTAGTGTGTACTGTATATTTGAACTCTTTATGTCTGATCTTTTTACTATCATCATAAACTAGAGATCCACACGGTAAAAACAACAACTATTTGCTCAGGTTTCTTGGCAATAAATATTTCATATATTTAAATCAGAGCTTCTCAATTGTTTTTTTAGCCACACACCCCTGACAAGATACAGAATACACCGTGGACCACCTTATTTATGTCTGTTGGAATAATTAGACATTAGACCTATTTTTTGCAACTTCTGTAGTCTTAGTTGTGTGAAGCACAAATCTAAACAAGGGAAATGTATTAAATACTGTATATTAGACATGTATTAAAATATCTGCACCATCTCAACACAGAGTGCCCGTTAAATAATAATGCAGCTGACACTGTACTTAAACTTCCATTGGTATCAAATCAGCTACATCAGTTTAAAAAGCTTTTAAAAACACACTTGTACAGACAGGCATTTCTATGATATTATATAGTATACATATTTTTTTTTTTAACTGAATGTTGTGCTTTGTTCAATCTCTCATTTTATTGCATTTTCTGTGTATAATGTTCTTTTAATTTTTTTTGTTTTTCTTATGTTGTATGGTATTGTCTTTTGTGAAACACATTGCAATTGAAAATCAGTATTGATATAAAGATCATCATTATTATAATCATTAATAATGATGACCTTGCAGGGGGGGCTGGAGCCTATCCCTGCCGACATTGGGCGAGAGGCGGGGTACACCCTGGACAGGTCGCTAACAGTCTATGGCTAGTCTACAGTCTATGGCTAAAGACAACCATTCATGCTCACATTAGCACATGGGCAATTTAGGGTCACCAATTAACCTAATCTGCATGTTTTTGGATTGGGAGGAACCAGTACCCAGACAAGGCCTACACTGACACAGGGAGAGCAAGCAGGCTCCGCACAGAATGGCTTCCCAATCCTGGGTTTGAACCAGGAACCCTCTTGCTGTGAGGCGGCAATGCAAACCACTAGACCACCATGCCGCCATCATCAATAAGGTTAAAGAAACATCAGAGGAAAATCAAGAGAAAAGGGCTTATCTGTAGTGCATTTAAGAACATACACACCCACACATATAGGGAGAAATGTGAAATGTTCTACTCTTAGTGCATACAGGCAAAATAAAATGCAGTTTCTGATTATTCTAAGTAACATACAATTTGTTACATTGGAATGGAAACTACAAACTATTCTAGATTCAAAGATTAGAGTGCTATCTGTTGAACTATGAAAGCTTTTGTTAAAAAAATATATCATGATAATTAAAATGAATGACAAAGAACAACAGATGCCTTTAGGTCCTCAGACCCCACTTTGAGATCACCGATTTGAATAATAAAGTATAAATTGTGTGGATTTAAAAAAAATGAAGCAAACATTTTATGTTAGTTGTAGCAAAACTAAACAAGATTATAGACTTTAAGTGAATGATTCAGTGATTAGAATGAATGTTCTGACACTTATCAGCTTTTCATTCAACTGCTGTCTCTCATGTGAAATAAAGACAACACTTTATGAAAGTGAAAGTACAATAAGTTTCCACTGGCAGACATGTATGTTACCTCTGAGTAGTGTCCTCCTCTTGTCACAGTATTGGATGGTCAACAGCTTAATAAAGCGGCTTGAGTTGTTGTTCCTGGGAGTCTTCGCATGACCGAAGGCCTCCAGGATACAGTTAACCTGAATATTTTACCAAAATAAAGGAAACATTACCAGTGAGTCAGAATATCCTATGCACATCTTTTTCATTCTACAATTAATGAATGGAGTTCTGCTCCCATTCCACTCTCCGCCACTAGATGTCAATATGCATCCATTATGTGGGACCTCAGTAATTTTTGTGTCCTCTGGATGATCAGAGAGTGAGCTGACCCAGATATCGACTACACAACGATGACTTCATCAGAACACAGCACTTGCAATCCCAGGCTACCCACTGCAACTGACAGACTGAGCGCAGAGCAGTGAATCATGTGTTAAGCACCACCAACATCTCACAATCTGAAACACAAGGGGAATGTAACAAGAAGCAGTAATGAAAGTGCGTCCCTTTCTTTTCATATACAAAACGAGGAAGGATAATAAATTCTGATCTTGCCCAAATGCTTAAACAAAAAATTAGAAACTGCTACTGTTTTTAAAACCAATACTCCCTCGGCAGGCTGTAAGGTGTAAGGAAAATGGAGTGCCACCTGAGAATAATGCCCAAACAATTTTCTCTCTCTGTCCCAAAGAAACAACAACGTAAGAAACACAGTCATCTTAATGGAAATCTTGATGATGCAATCAAACACATGCTCAAATGGTGTCTTTGACAAATCATCAACTATCAAGCAGAGAAGAAAACACCACCAGCAAAAAGCCCCATTTTCTGGTGTATTAATCCATACACCTATTCTCTCCCCCAGCATGGAGACAGAGGAACAGCGGGGTACATTTACACAGTTATGACCGCCACCTCACCACACTGTGTGCTATCTGATTTTTGATCACAGATGACATGAGAGAAGGAACAAAAAGCGCAGGGAGAAATGGATGTAAGATTCAGTCAGTGCCTCGCTTTGAAGAACACACAAATATTCATGAGTTTCTCGATGAGGGCTGATTGCGGAGAGCAGAAAATTTGAAATGAAAAACAGCACAGATGTCTGCTGTAAGATAATTTTTGGGTGTTTTGCCTTTTGTTACAAATCCAAGTAAAGGCACAATGGCATGAAAGTAACAAGGATTCAAGAGTCATGCCGAGGACACTGTGGTTACATCACGTGCTCCTCAGCCATATAAGCCTCCAGGACGCTCAGCCTGACGACTGCTTCAAGCGTAAAATAAAAGGGTATCTTAAACACTGACAGGTCCAGACTTACGTGTTTCATTCTGGGCTCCAGCACAAAGCCTTTGGGGCTGGAGCGGGCTGTCAGGTGTCTCACTATGTGCTTACAGGCCTCCGACTTCCCAGAACCACTTTCACCACTGGAGAGACAGAAAAATACAGATTTAATGTCATTCATTCCTCAGGTGATGTGTCACTGTCACTCTTTATACATGAACTCTTTCCAACATTGAACTGCAAAAGCTTTACAACACTTTCTATTTGAATAAATAAAGGTCTATATTAGGTCTTAAATGAATAGCCAGGGAACAGAGCCCGAAAATGGCCAGGCAAAAATAATACAATTAAAGGGACAGTTCACTCCCAAATTAGATTAGATACAGGATGCGGCCTCATAGCTAAAAAGAAAGTAATAATAAATATAAAATAATACGTCCTTCCATACATTCCAACACACATTCACACAGTCAACCAATCAGACAAATCAAAACAAATCAAAATTCAAAAGTGACATTTACAGTGCCATTGTGTGCATAGAGGTAGATTTCATTTAAAAAAAGTAACCATTTACTTTTAGAAATAGTAATGAATAGTAATATTTATATCTAAAAAACATGGAAGTGCTGTATTGTCTATATTGCACAGTTTTTGAGTTCATTGTTCAGTGTGGTTATGGCTGTGGGGTAAAAACTGTCCAGGAATCATTTGGTGCGTGTTCTGATGGATCTGTATCTTCTGCCAGAGGGTTCAAACAGTTCAAAAAGGTGATGGGCAGGGTAGAAAGAGTCTTTGAAGATGTTGTGTAACTTATACCTTATAGAACTTATTCTATAAGGTGAAGAATCAAATCAAATGTGCACATTTTCCCTCTTACCTTTAGTGCTATTTATGAATCTAGATTGTTTTGGTGTGAGTTGCAGAGTGTTGGAGATATCGGCTGTCAAGATGTCAACCTTCTCTCTAATAAAATGGAACCTAAAGGCACGCGGCTTGTGGTGCTCAACCCCCCCAACCCCCAAAATAATCCACAGACCTTGTTGTGAGCATTTTCAAGTAAAAACTATTTTGTTTCTGGTGAACTTCATCCACCAACTGTATCACTGTGCAATTGAGAAGAGGCAGAAACTTCTACGGCCGATGTCTCCAACACTCACAACTCACATTAAGCCATCTAGACTGATAAATAGCACTACAGGTAAAAGGACAAATGTGCACTTTTTATTTGGGAGTGAACTGTCCCTTTAACAGGCTGCTATTAAAGGAAGGTAGACATCAAGAGTGAAAGACAGGGATGCACCTATCTAATGGTCACACATCAGTATCGGCTGATTGGATCGGTTTATCAGCAAATAATTTGCTAGTCACTAATAGCAGTGGCTGATGTTTTCCCGTTTCCATCAATTTGGTGCAGGTTAAAAAGCAGGGCTCCAGTTTAATGGCGTCCCATTGTTCCAGGGACAAAAGAAAATGTGTCTGGGATGAACAGAAATCTTCTCCATTACACCAGTGGGACAAAAAGACCCAGTAAACTCACTATCGATGCACCAGGGGATGCAGCCTATTGTTCCCCTGATACAGCTTCATTGTAAGGAGGAGAGCTAGTTAACGTTAGCTGGAGCTAACTGTTGATGGAGGTTGCATTGAATTACATTATATGTTCAAGCTCTATTTAGTAAAAGTGAGTATTGGGCGTAAATTACAACATTATCATGATGTGTTCAAATGCAATCGTGTAAAATTTTGGTTTTGGTGAGTGGTTTAAAGGAAGAATTTGTTTGTGTTTTCACAGCAATATAATATAAATATTAGTAAGGGAATATGATATATATATATAGTAAAATGATTTTTGAAGCAATTTTTAAAAAATGATTTCATGTGATAGAATATTATTTTTACGGTTGTTCCAAGTTCCAAAGTTGAGGTTATAAAGGGCTGAATGACTTTAAAACAGTTCATATATCTTTTTACAATGATTTCTTTGTTTTCCTGGCGCAAAAGGGGGAATAAATAACAACAAAAACACAATAAACAACAACAACAGTAACAAAAATCACTGGTATCCATAGCAGCCAAATTGTTAGTTAAACATCAGTGTCTGTACCGGCATCCCAAGTAAAAGGCAAATTGAGCAGTGCAAAGATCAAGCATCTGTGTGTTACACTTCTCTGGAAGTGTCTCACAAGAATAGGTGTTATGCATTAGTCATCGGGGTGTTCCCCACATCTGTCACCTCAGTTGTATGTCTCCACCTACTTGACATCACCCCTTCAGGGACCTCCACCCATAAAATTCATAATCTATTCCTTCTTTCTGACACGACTAACATTGCTCTGTCCAAATGTTGTTACTGCCACAACTTCTCTGGCAGTGGCCGCTTGTTTTTTAATTTGGCGTTGAGCGAATATTAAATCTGACATAAGGTACCTCTACAGTACATGCTCCGACACTCACCGACACGCAGAGAGTTGAGACCAGCATAGTAACATCAAACAGATGGCTTCGGAAGGTCAGAAGCCCTCACTAATGACCGCAGTGTGCTGTGGTGAGCTGTTTGTCCGTGTGTATATGTGTAGCTATATTTCCTACTAACAGCCCTGCTGGAGTGCGAAGTCCAAAGGCCTTTCCACTGTCTTTTCATTTACCAGTTTTTATTAGATTTCAAGGGCATTTTGTTAGAGCACTCGCCTTGGGGGATCATGGCTGCTGATTGCCTGTAAATGTGTAGGTGTGCGTGTGTGTTTATGTGTATGTGTGAGGAAGTATGGAGTGAAACAGGAAGCTTGAACGAAAGAGAAACACGAAAAGGAAGAATAAAGTGCAGTGGGGAAAGAGTGAAAACAAGTGTGTGTATGTGAGAATGCACAGTGCAATGTCCTTGCATGTGTGTGTTTGTGTGTGTGTGTGTGTGTGTGTGTGTGTGTGTGAGTGAGATGGATCGCCTCTGGCCAGGGCATATTAACTCTCTGCCAGATTGGTTACAACTCAGCGGGAATGTCACTGGAGAGCCGGAACGGGATTTAATTGCAATCAGGGAGCTGCCACCGTCCAGCCGAGGACAAAGAACGAGACGCCGCAACTTTCCCAGCAAACCACCATCTCTGCATGAACAGGTCCACTGCTCAGCTCAGGCTGAGAGCTATTAATCTCTCAGGGAGTGTTTAACAGGTGTGCGGCGGAGGGCGTGGACGAACCAGGTGGCCAGCTGAACGTCACTATTATTCTCACAATTATTCCGCTCTGTTGAGATTCTTGTCTCAACCACCCGAGGCACACAGTGTTAGTGAGAGTGTGTGTGTGTATGTGTCCTAAAGGGGGCCGGTGTACCTCAGGATGAAACACTGCGGGCGTCTCTCCTGCAGCATCATGTGGTAAGCTCGTTCTGCTGAGGAGAAGATGTGAGGTGGCAGAGAGGAGCACAGACGACCCGTGGAGCTCAGGTACAACTGACTCACCTGGGAGAGAAAGAGAGGCAAGGCATTGGATAACAACCTTATGTAACATGCATGCACACGTGGGCTGAGCAACACAGAGGATACAGTTTCAGCAAAACAGCGAAACCATGCTGGGTATAACTTTCTATACCTGTGTGAGTGTGTGTATGTTCAGCTCACTAACAAGGTGTGGTTTACCACTCAGTGTAACCATGTAATTCAACCCAAAGTGAATAAAACAGCACTTAGGCGTTGACTGAAAACTGTCATCATTTTAAACACACACTTAAACAAAGTTTTCCTCCTGAATTCAATGTAACACGGGGTGAGTAATTGATATACATAATTTATCTCACATGACCAGCGAACAAAGAACTAAAACATGTAAAAACCTCTCAATAAATTGATGCTATAAGGGAACAAAACATTATCAAAACATCTGTTGAAAACTCGAACACACGTCATGCAGTATAATCCAAGTCTCATTTATCCAGTCGTGTGCTCAGTGTTGGAGCCATTTCTAGCAAGTCCTAGTTTCCTGGTTTTTTTTGAGTCACTCTCATGCGCCACCTGACCTGGCATCTAGGGAGTGAGTGCGGAGCGGAGGATGCCATGGGATTACAGTCTATAATCGCTGTGTTTTTGGTTAATCTTAGTTTTTATTGTTTGATGAAGTCGTTTAATACCCCACTGATTTGAACTTTGTTTTGTATAGGCCTGTTTATTTGGGGAATGTTTGTTTGGGGATTTTTGTTTTCATTTTTGAATGCGGTTCATAGCGTCATCTTGCAACTCTCAATATATCCTGCAAATCAGTCAACTGTAAAAACCAACCGAAGCACCTGGATCATCCAGGTAGTTTTTGTTTGCACATATGAGACTTTTTTTTACATTTTTTTTTAAAGGAAACAATCTGTAACTGGTGTCTTGAAAAGTAATATTGCTAATGGAGGACCAAAACTTAAAAATATCCATTAAAACTTTGAACAATTAGACTCAACAACGGCCTAAAAGTGTTGACTTTTAGCTTTTACTACAGATATGAAAACAGTTTTGAAGATGTTTTCTTTGGGGCTTCTGAGCAACTGAGGTGTTTGAAGAATGTTACTCAGATGTTTGCTCTTTATCTTCATAAGGAGGTTATCATCTAGATATTTCCGTTTAGTTTAGTTGAGTCTTACATAGAAGACTTCAAATGTAAGTGATTCTAAAACCTGCACTTTCCACTTCAGCCAGTAACAGAAACTATAGTTTAAATGTTGCTCAACTTATGACGAAGGATAAATAAAATAAGAAATTATGAACAGTCGCAATCCAACTTTATTGAAAACAGTGACCCCTCCACTGTCTGTCATACTGAACTGTGATACAACTGCACTATAACACCCCCATTTGTCCCGGGTCCAGAGGATGTGTGCCAGTGCTGTATTTGTGGCTGTGGAAAAGCGAAGGAGGATGGGCTGTGAACCACCAGACCAGAGGGGGTGACAGACGGCCAGCAGATCACACATGTTGTGACATATGTCCTTCTCACACCGGCTCCTCCCTGCTCGTCCACATACCCTGTCAGTTGGGTATGGATGCCTGGAGTGAATCCAGACGCGGGCAGGAATGGGACAGCCAAAGGGGGCTTGGCTCCATTCTGTCATGGCAGTGGAAGATGTCTCCTCCTCCATCCAACCACCCCCCCCCCCCCCCCCCCCCCCCCCCCCCCCCCCCCCCCCCCCCCCCCCCCCCCCATGGGCAAGCAGCACTATACTGGCATTACTTCAGCTATTTCAGAATGACTTATCTGCTGTTTAAAATAAGGTGACACACTGTTGTTGATTGATATCACAACAATAAACAATAATTATGTGTAAAGAATAAGAGCCTGTCAGTTATTAGCTGACAGTCTCCTCTGGCTTTTGCATATGTTAAATATGATGCTTTTCACCAGCAGAGATAGTGTTTTAAAAATATTCTTTACAGTGGAGACGTAGAGTAATAAAGTCTGTATGAGGATGTGTGTATGTGTGTGTGCTTAACTGAATCCATCTCTTCCCTCGCTGATGCCGAGCCAGCCTAGTGCTGTGTATCACTGACAGGAAGACTGCATTATTTATCAACCACAAGGTCCATTTCATCTGTTCATGCCCTGCTTATTATACAGCAACCGTGCCTCCTTTATAGTATGCTTCTGCATGTAAAACGCATAGCCCATCAAATGTAAAGCCATGTGTTTTAGGCATGAATCATAGTATACAGAACTGCAAACTCAACATTAACAGAGCTCAGCGCAGTATATATCGTAAGCCTATGTCAGTCCCTCCAGGATTTAACTGGCTTTTTTTGGGACTGCAGCCTTAAATGCTTGATTTCATGGCAGCTTTTCTTGGATGTTTTATTGCAGTGAAATTGCCAGGGTAAATGAAAGTTGCAAAAATAATTGTTGTTTTTTGTTGTTATATTATTCATTAGAAACTGAAGGCAACTAATTCCAGTGAGAACAAAACCGCGCTGTTCTGAGTGTTCAAAAAGGTTCATTTTATTGAATACTTATTATTCCTACACTATTTTCTTTATTACAATTACACACAACCAGGCAAGCACGCCTCTATGCCTTTGTGATTTATACAGCACTAACGTTACCACTAACCATCCATTTTCATCCGCTTATCTGGGGCCGGGGCACAGGGGCAGCAGGCCAAGCAAAGCATCCCAGACATCCCTCTCCCCAACAACGCTTTCCAGCTCCTCCTGGGGGACCCCAAGTTGTTCCCAGGCCAGATGAGATATGTAATCCCTCCAGCGTGCCCCAGGAACACCTTTAATGGAAGGAGCCCGGAAGCATCCCGATCAGATGCATGAACCACCTCAACTGACCCCTTGCAACGCAAAGGAGCAGCGGCTCTACTCCGAGCTCCCTCTGGATGTCCGAGCTCCTTACCCTATCTCTAAGGCTGAAATTACAAGGTTGTGCAAAACCAATACAAGTGGGCAGAATTTGCGTTGAATTCTTACGATCCCAACAATGCAACATCCTGGAGGGGCTGCTGTGTGAAACAGAGGTCATTTAAATGCATGCTTACCAAAGTGGAGTAGATGGGCAGCTCTTTGTTTGGATTGACTAGCAGGAGGATGTGTCCGATGTAAGTCTACAAAACAGAGAAAAAGAAACACACCTGATTGATCTTTTACTCATGAATCTAATTATGTTAAACACTTATCTTTTGGGTGTGAGGTTGACCGCTTTGACATACAAACAGGCTGAAGCTGGGTTTTAATTACTTACAGAGCGCCTGCAGCTATCACTGAACTGAAAAAAGTGCTGTGCCACTCTTTCCTTTACATCAGTATGCATGGAGGTGACAATCTCTATTACCATAAGAGTATGGTAATCTCATGGCAGAGACAGGTCAGGAGAGGAACCTCCAACGATAACCTCGGTAATGACCTTTCTCTGATAAAAAACCAAAACAATTCTGCCCGCATACGCAGCGTACACACAAACCCTCAGGCCGTTTAGATAAAAATAACCAACTCCCAATTTCTGACCCTTTCCACTAAACTGCTAACCCTGTGTTTCTCACAAGGAGTCCCGGAGGCTGTTTGAAAGCTAACGCTCCGTCCCCTGGGAAAGTGCCGACATTGCTAACATTCTGTAACATGCTGCTTTGTCCTTAGGCCCTGGCTCAAGGTTAATGACTTGAACAAATTCCCACTGCTTGCGGACACGGAGCAGAATTTACACTACAAGTTTTGCTTTTTATTGACGGAATAAAACTCCGAGAACAGCGCGCCACTTCCACACTAACTGTTGTTTAATCTTGTGATATGCTTGTCAATAATCCAGTGTCTTCTGTCACATCCTTTCCCAGCTCCTTGCCGCTCTCCTCGGGGGGGTTAGCGGCGCACTGGTCCTTCTATAATGGCAGAAGGCAGCAGACCACTCATCAAAGCCCCATCTCTGACCACCCTGCTGGGAACATATGGAGCATTCACCGCCTTTGTCCTCCCCCTTATTTCTGTCCTTCATCACATCTCTGCTTTGTCCATCTCTTTCTTGAAATGACCTTTATTATGCACTTAAGGTCATACTGTAAGTATAGAATCAGGCAGGTGAAAAAGATTTTTGGTCTTTTCAAGGCAAACCCTCTTAGAAAAGATGGAAACGTCATTGAAAAATGTCAAATGTAAAGCCATTATCTGCTTACCTGGCTTTATTTAGGAATATCTTTGCTATAAACAGAATTGAGTGCGTGGCTGTACTGCCTATACCTCATGACAGAGGAGTTATGCACAATGAGATCAGGTGTGCTCCTCATAGCTGCACTTTGTCCTTTTCTTTACACCTTTTCTTCTTCCAAATTGGACTGAAGCCTCAAATCCAGCCCTCATTATTCTAAATTCTAATCATTCCTCTTTTCTTCATCCACCACTCTACTGCCTTTTATTGTCATCCCCTTATCTGTTGTCCCCTGCTGCGGCTAACCCTACTGTCTGTCGCCCATCTGGGGTTCTATAATAACAGACTATTACTGCCTCTTCACAGAGAAGAGAGTGCACCGGATAGCTCCACATTGATCTGGTTCCAGTCTTTATAGAGCTCGGTCCCTGTGGTGAGGTATGGGCCAGACTACAGTTTTAAAGGAAAGGAGAAAAAGACAGGAATAAAAAATGGACCAAATCGTTGGAGATGAAGGCATTTTACTCCTGAATATAGTTATGGATTTGTCTTTTCAATCAATCTAAATGGTATTGATTTTGTAATTGTCACCAGTGTAAGTATGTGTGTGTGTCCGTATATATTAATATTACGTACCATAGGCCGAAACAGAAATGGGAAGGGACTCAGCTCATGAACACACAAGGGTGTACAGACTACTATGAATAATACAAATTTAGTCACGGTCAAAAAAATATTCACTGCCAGTCACTGGCTGTAAAAGTAGTCCTGGGTCTAAAATTTTAATATTATCCGCACAATCATCTTCAGAATAGGAGGTGCAGTATTTGTGATGAACTGTATGTGGTGTTTTTACTTCAGAAACAGAGCACACTACATGTACAGTATGCTGGAAGGAACCCAGCTGCAGTGTTCATGGGTATAAAGAACGTGCGATGTGATCCAAACACCACACTGAAATTCCCAGACTGCAAACAACACAGCACTCGGCTACAAATAAACAACTGTAGTGGCCCAGTTTTACCCGAGGGAGTGTGTGTGTTTATCTTTCTCAGTGTTCCATGTGTACTTTGTCTCCTAATGCATGTTTAATGTCGAGGGGGTCTTCATAGTTTAGTGGCACAAGGACAGCGGAGTCTTACGTAGATTTGGTCGTTGCCGAAGCGCTTCTGCATCTCGTAGAGGAGGCTGCTGTCTGTCAGCTCGCTGAGGGACGCCAGGTCGTCGTTGGGAGCTGGAGGCATCAGTTTGACCTGAGGGAAAAGCAACGCAAGAGTTAAATTTCACATGTCAGCACTACGACATGCAGCTTGAGGCAGAGAGTGTTTTACATGATAAATTTAAAGTCTGGGACAGTGGTCTCCAGAAACAAATGGAATATATAAAATTTTCTTCTAGCAGACATTTGGGATTATCAATGTTTTTACTAGAGCTGTCAGTCCTCTATAATCCCAGTCAATTTCATTCCTTATTATTAGTTATATTTAAATAATATTTGAATTTTTAAAGCTCAAATTCAGCTTATAATTGTTTCTGATATAATTAATTACTGGGGTGTAAAATCAAAACTCTCATCATGGTATTATCATAAATTTACTCAACTAACATACATGAACCATGGCTTTAGTATTAACACAGCATTAAAATTTGGCTCAATAATAATAAGCAAGGTTCACGGACAAAACCTTTTTTTTTTTTTTTTTTTTTTTTTTTTTGCTAGTCATCATTATCAGCTTAAGCCTATGGCACTTGCTTTTGTTGTAAGTAACACGAGTTCCTGCCAGCTTGAATAACGTTCACTTCACCTCTCTCTCCTGTCCTATGTCGTCAAACTAGTGCAACCATAAATGACAGCAAAATTCAGGAGAGAAGCCACCACTAAAGTAAATCATTCACTGCCGTATGGATGGATATTTCACGTTATTTTTTGGCATTTGGCCCACCTGGCCAAGGAGCTGAAAGTTTCTGGTTATCTGTAGTAGTCTCATCAAGGTAAATGACCATCTCTTATAACAACGTTCTTGCTGTTGGCTTTATTGTATGTCATTTACAGTAAATGCCACAATATCAAACAACTGATTTCAGTTTAAAAAGTACAAATGTAGGAATATAGCTAATATCCTACTCACTCATCTTTTAAGTGGGTCTCTAGTCTGATCTCAGCACTGAGCTGATAGGTGAATGGTTTGTTTACATGACAAGACAGAAGTGCTTATTTAAGGGATTCAGTGTGTGGACAGAGAGCATCTGATGCGGCACGACACTTGGACGCTTGCTTGCTTGCTGTCAGGACACGCTGACAACATCCATCCATTTTAAACTGCTTATCCCAAACCAGGTCGTGGGGGCAGCAGGCCGAGCAAAGCATTCGAGACGTCCCTCTCCCCAGGGACGCTTTCCAGCTCCTCCTGGGGGACCCAGAGGTGTTTCCAGGCCAGACGAGATGTAAAATCCCTCCAGTGTGTTCTCTGGGTCTGCTCCGGGGCCTCCTACCAGTAGGACGTGCCCGGTCACCTCTAGCAGAAGGCACCCAGGTGGCATCCTGATCAGATGCCCACACCTCCTCAACTGACCCCTTTTGACATGAAGGAGCAGCAGCTCTACTCCAAGCTCTCTCCGGATGTCCGAGCTCCTCACCCTATCTCCAAGGCTGAGCCCAGGCATCCTTCTGAGGAAACTCATTTCAGCTGCTTGTATCTGCGCTATCATTCTTTCGGTCACTTCCCAGAGCTCATGACGACAGGTGAGGATTGGGACCTAGATGGACCAGTACACTGAAAGCTTTGTCTTCCAGCTCAGCTCTCTCTTCACCACAATGGTCCAGCACAACTTCCACATCACTGCAGACTCTGCGCCAAACCATCTACATCACTTCTATAGAAATATTTAAAAATACACACTTGAATTGTAATTTAAGCATGGAATTAGGATTCATTTTTTCACTATTCAATTAATATTTGACTCCCGAAATTCGATCCAACAGCCCTGGCTCTTACTGCCTTACTGTGTTTTTTGCAGTGTGGGAGCTGTAAGAAGTTGTAACAAGGTACCTGCTCCAGTTTGCTGGCTCCGGAGCTAAAGGGGCCATCTAGGCCATTATCCTGTGAGGGCTGTCGGCTCAGTGCTCCACCTGCCTCTCTGAACATGGCACACTTCTCCAGCAGACTGTCCCGCTTAGAGATGGAGAGCCCCAGGGGGTTCCTGTGTAATCAGAGGATAGGGGATAGAGTTTGACAGTAGATGGGGAGCAGATTTGGGGGAAAGGATGAGAGAATAATGAGAGTAAAAAAACAGGATTCACAATCTGTGGAGTAACAATAAGGCAACACCGTGCTCATGAAACTGTTAACCTACAAGTTCTTGACAGGAGTGTTGAGGTCGTGTGAACCGCCATCATAGCGTTGGTCAGTGGAGGGTAGAGGAGCGGAGGGGTCCTTTAGTCTCTGCAGCCAGCTCTCCTCTGCACTCAGCAGCATATCAGCTATGGGCTCTGATGCGGAAATGTCTGGTGATAAGATACACAAGATGGCCTAATCAGCGATTCATTGTGATATTTGAAGGTCACAGAGAAATTTAACTTGATACAGATGACACCTTCAAAATCTAATTTGTAAGCTCTAAAATTAATTTTATTACCACTCTGTGCCATTGGTGAAAAGACATAATATTTGTAATACTGTTCCCTTAAGACCATAATATTAGTCTTTGCTCTCTCTCTTGCCATACCAACCCTTCTCCACGATCAGTGTGGACGAGCCTGCACTGGTGGAGAATGTGAACCCCACTGTGGATCAATCCAACTGTGCTTAAAAGGAAGGGGGAGATAAGATCCCCCCAGTCTGTAATGAGGTATAACGGGGCACGAGGGAGGGGAATGGCTTCATCCTGTCTTTAGATTTTTGTGTGACTGACAACCCCCTAGACTCCAATCTCCTGCTCTGGCGTTTTTTCGTCATGTGGCTGCTGAGGGAGGGGTGTGGGGCTCGAGGCAAGAAAGGGAGGGAGGATTGTCTCAGTCTCTAAGGGCTTGTCTCACATCTTTTCTGAGCCTACATGCTAGAAGGAGCTATTGATTAAGGCTGGAGTGAGGCAGTCAGAGGTGTGATGAAGCTATGGGAGCAAATGCTTAGAGGCAGCTGTGATATTCTATCTCACAGTGGAGAGGTTTGAAGCCCAAAGCCCGTCTATATGACACATTTCATCACTATCACACGAGAGACGCCTCTTACATTTACAGTGACTTCACTACATTTATCAGCAGCCTGGTTCAGTGAATGGTCTTAAGGCGGTTCTGCTATGGTTTGAGACACAGGGAGTTTCACCCCTGCTGTGCGTGTGTGCGTGGGAGGAGAATTTGCAAGACTGATCGGGATCATCAGCCAATAATGGATTTCCGTCCAACATTAATATCATTGAAATTAATGAAAATATGTAAATGACCGCCATTACACCCACAGAGAGACTGAGCATTCACTGAGAGAACGTAGAGATGTCAAGACTTAAAAGGTACCCGTGGAGTTCTCTTGTAAGCAAACACAGTTGTGTTTACAACTTTCTCTTCAAAAGGCTTTGTGTTTTATCTTAGAGGCCCTACAATTGTTCGGAACGCCTTTATTTCTCATAAAACATTTGCAAAGCCCATTTTCTGAAAATGTTGAAACTTGCATTGTTTACATTGGCTGCCAGTCTTCTTCCTCTGTGCCTTTTGTTGGCATACTGCCATGTTTATTGTAGTGTTATCATCTCCAACTGTCGATCAATGGAATGACATGAAAACAAGCAACATCAGCCCTTATCTCAACAGACAGATATCTGCATATGAATGCAGAATCTGTAGACCATAGAGCAAGATGTTTGTTTGGGAAGCATTCTAGTTTCCATTTGTAGTCTGGTAATAGTGACCAATCATGTCCGAGCGACAGATAAACCGTCTTAGATATTGTCTTATGACTGTTTAGCTTCATATTAGCTTTCTTAAGAAAATAAAATCTGTACTTGAATGCAGATTTTCATTGACAGAGATGACCTGAAATGACCAGCCCATGCAATAGGAAGTCTTATAGCTGATGGGTTAGCAAGCCTGTATATCAGATTGGTGTTTCACTTGTTTATCTTCTTCTTCAAGTATTAATGCCTGCATGCACCTGGCAGGAACGTGTGCATATTTATGAATCTTTAGATGTATTGGCCGATACTTAACACTGCATATTATAGCAGCTTGCACGAAAAGCATCAGGTTTTACTGGTCATGTTTAAGTCTTTTATCATCATCTGTAATGTAAAAATAGATATCCACACAGTGAATGAAAGCAGGGAACAACATCAGGCCGCCCTACCATTTCAAGGTTCAAGCTTATATTTATTGTCCCCCCAGGGGAAATTTGTTTTGCAGCCAGAGTTCACATAAAAACAATAAAAGACAATATGGACGACCATCAACACAATAAATCACAGAGCCAGAGCAGGGAAATCAGAATTTATACCAAACAGGCCACATGTGCTCAAGAGTGCAAATGTGCAAGGAGTGCAGCCAAAGTGCTGTTTGAACTTTGGATGAAGGAGATGCAACATATCTTGGTCCTTCTTATGTGTGTCCTGAAACTGCATCCTGAGGGCAAAAGTTTGAACTCATCCAGGAGTGGATGGTCCTAGAATTAGCTTGGCCTGACTCCTCCCCGAAATCATACCGGCCATTTTAACAAGACTTCCAAGTCGATGCTTATTTGACAGTGTAAGTGCTATTTAAAAGTGTTTAGTTCACAATGTGCATGATGCATAATAAGGTTAAAATGTACATCCTATGTGACTGAGGTGATGTATTAAGGGTAAAATGTACATGACTGCAAAGGTTGAAGCTAAGGCACTAGTTCATTGTTTACTTACCTGTACCTCTGTGGCGGAACAAATTTTCGTTGTTGTGCTACTACGGCAGAATTTGCTGTGGGACCGTGTATAGCGCAGTGTTGAGAATGTCTTGCTAGGCTCGACTTTTAGTTTGTAAATGTCTGAGGCCGAAGTGGATGGTCGAAAAGATGGCTGGAGAGACATTTGAGGGATTTTAAGAGCTTTGGGAAACTCTTCATGACAAGCAGCTGACGAGTTTTCACGGCACGACAAGAAGGAGATGCCTCAGAGGGACAGAAATGCCCGAATAAACGCCTGTTTGAGAGAACTGACCTGTGTCTGTGTTGCTGTGAGAGAAGCTACAGACAGATTTAGATTTCCAAACCAAGCAATAATGCAAAAGAGTCATCATCTGAGAAGAAACGTGTAAAGAGTTCATTTTTTCTCAGGGAAAAAGTCTTCGTTGGACCTTTTAAGAGGTAGCATCAGCACAAACTGTTATCAAGAACAATACCCATAATCTGTCTCTATAACCATTACAGTATGTTTATAGTACGAGCAAAAAAAACTGCTCCACAGCACCTCTAGTGGTTAAAAATATGACATGGTACCTTTAATTTAGGACTGTAGAACTTAAAGGGGATCAATGATTACAATATCACTGTATAAGCAGGCATCATTTTTCAGATGGTAGCAATCTGCTATGTGCAACTCATTATTTAAATCATGAATCATCAATTAAGTTTCTCCTGAGCTGCAGTGTCTACCAGTCAAAACAGGATCCATACACACAACTTGCCCCACATTGAATCAATGCAAATTGTCTTTACTCAGATCTCCTCTGTTGATCGTGTAAGATTCCCTTATTAAAAAAACAAAACAAAATAAAACATGCCTCTTGATAATGATATGATACCTTTATGCCCATTAGCAAATTAATCACACAAGCCTCTTTTGATTACTGCTAACACCCAGTTTTAATCAGTGTGTGTGTGTGTGTGTGTGTGTGTGTGTACGGGCATGAGTGAGGTGCTCATGTTTTCTTTCATTAATAAATAAGTTCTCTCACACTCAAATGTGCAGATAGGCTCAGCAGAGACTGATTATGACGGAGCCTCGTATGTGTGTGTGTGTGTGTGTGTGTGTGTGTGTGTGTGCCTGTGTTTCATATTAGCACAGTGATTATTAATGCATTCGCAGGCATACAGTCAAAATCCATTTCTCCACTTCTTTGCTTCATTAACTCTTGCTTGCTATGACATGTTTGCCCATTCCAGCAGCAATATTTGTGTGTGTTTGTGCGTGCACGGGTGTATATTTGTGTGAATGCCTAAATATGTTACTGTACCTGAGGGCTTGTCTTGGTTGCAGTTCAACAGAGTCGGGTTTGCTCCGTGCCTCAGGAGCTGGCTAACGATGCTTGTCTGTAAGAGATGGGAGAAACACCCACATCCATTTTCATTAGATGCTAAAAAAATTCAAACATTTCTGGGGCGCCGTGAACGCCATCTACTTTCAAACCATCAGTACGAGAGCAAAAAGAAGCATTTCATGGCAGATTTCTGAAAATCCTCCTGTTAAAGGTCAGAGGAGAGTCAGCGGTTATTCCCACATGTATTGCTACAGTGCAGATGTAACAGAGACCTGGAATTTAAACACAGAGCAGACGAGACAAACACTGTGTGTCACACATGACAGGTCTATACAAGTGTTGCCCCCTGACTGAGGAGATCCTTTAATAATGAGACTATCTTCCATCACATGTCACAGTGGAAGAACCCAGCAGTCACCTACTCTCATCTCTACACACAGTGACATGTGATGGCTGTCACCTCTGTCCTCTGTTGTTCTGTCTGTGTTTTTCTTAAAGTGTAGGCTCACACAGGCTCTCAGTCAGGCATGTTCTCCTTTCCCTCTCATTACTCCTTCATTTTCTACGGCCTTTTTTATTTGCATTCTCTGTCACCACCCGTCTTTAACTCTGTGGAGTATCGGCTGCACTATGTGATCTGTGACTACTGATTTGGGATTAGTGTATGCACTAGAGATGAAGCAGTATGAAAATTATGATCACGGTTATCAGTATTATCACGGTATTGTTAAAATATACTGAAAATAATCAGCAATGACACACACTGAAATCATTTCGGCAAGTTTTATCCTATATTGGTGCATTGCAAAGTTAATATATTTAACTGAAACTGAACTAAAAACTAAAACTGGCCGTGAAAAAACATTATAGTTTGCTGAAATAAAAAAAAATCTAGACTAGAGAGAAATATATAAATGTCCTTGGTTGTAGTCTTTCTCAATTTGGCCAAATTTGTCAACACAACAAGAATAAGTGTTTTCTGACTCACATTCTCCACGCTGATCATGAGCTTTTACCCTCGGGCAGAAGATACAAGATGCCCAAATTTAAACTGAACCGTTTCAAAAATTCATTTGTGCCAACCTCAATTAAGATTTTAAAGATTTTAAGATTTTGTCACTTGATGCTCAGGGATTGTGTTGTGTTTTGCTTATGGTGCTCTGTTGTGTGCTGGTGTTCTGGACAATACATGAGTGGTTGATGTGCAATTATGTGTAGTATGTTTTTTTATGGTGTATGCTTATCATTTTTTCTGGACTATTATTGTATGGCAGCAAAACTTGTACATCTCTTGAGTCCAAGACAAGTTTCCCTATGGGGACAAAAGAGTATATCGTATCATATCACATCATATCATATCATATTGTATCGTATCGTATCGTACCATAACGTATCGTATCATATCGTATGATATCGTATCACATCGCATCGCATCATATGGAGTAAGGAATTGGTGCATGTGTTCAATGAGACTGGGATGCCACTTGCCTTCACAAAAAGCTGTGTTTGTATTGTAATACCTGTGCTGAGCTTCTTAAATCTTGCCCCTGACAAATACCTCTCATAATATAATAATAAAACTACAAATAAAACCAAAACTAATAAAAACTTAAGTAAAACTAAACATTTTAAAAAGACTAAAAACTAAACTGAAACGAGAAATACCTTTCTGGAAATGACCTAAAACTAAACTGACTTGAAAACCAAAATGAAAACATAAAAAAAAAAAAAAAACCTAATGAAAAATAAAAACCTCTAATAACTGAGGTGCACAAGCAGCCCAACTTTGAAATGCTAGCTCAGATGTCTGCGTCACTGTAGATAAAGACAATGGAAGAGTAGCATCACTGGGTTCATTCACACCCACTTTGTAAAAGATAAGGCTGCCACTGCCTTCCACCATGTTTTAACTGATGCAAAACAAACCCACGTTGCATGCTGCGCCTGCATCTGGGAGACCTTTGCCAACTTTGCTTGATGCTGGACAGTATTTATTGTGAGTTTTTCAAAGTGCGGTAATCAAACACAGTTCTAACAATAATTAAAACTTGAAACACAGATATTGTGGTGAATTTCATCGTGGTCTATCGTGCCACAGGTTACCATTTCATTCCGAGTATGCACTGTGTTTAAGTATCTGAAGTGTGATTCAATTTACTGATAATAGACAAGAATCTTCTTTATCACTTCTTGGTAATGTAGGAAAGATGGCATGACCCAGAAACTCAGAATCTCAGCAGCTCAACAAATAGAAAGGCATAATTTCAAAATGAAAATGAGAAGAGCGAGGCTGATAATGAAACACAAGAACCTACTTAACCATGGCACATTTTCTGGAAAACACTGGAGGAAAATAATAAACCTAACACTTCCTCACCTACTGTTCAGTTTTTATGACCATGTTTAGAGAGTCACAGCACTTCAGTGAAATCAAACCTACACTTGTGTGATGTCCTCTGTGGCTCTGGAGGAGCATTCAAAAGTAGCATAACTTCTTTGTGCTATAGGAGAGTAATGAGACATCATCTGCAGTACAGAAGAGAGTGATTCAGCACATTGCTCAGACTGGCACTGACCCACGTCAACAGCTGTGCAGCTTTGAGTCTACAGCATCTCTACTACCCACAGCCCCCGTCAGCTGCACTCACACCCTATAAATACAGACGACACGTCAGTGGCACCACAAGATCTGAACTCTTCAATGGGTCAGCAGGATCAGGAAAAGGTTGTTACACAGGGATCAGCGGGGACAGAGCAACCTTATAGAGTAGGGTATGTCGATTCAGTTTTTGGTAAGGATCCAAATGTCCCTTTCATATCTGTCAGACCTGACAATTAATCTTAAGATTAACATTAAAGTACTTAAGAAAATTAAACTGAATCAGGTGGTCGCTGCACTGCCACAGCTTTCACATGCGCCTTCATTATAAAACTGAATAAATTAATCCAGTCCCAGTAGGGCTGTATTTTAACATCCTGTCATTTTTGTGTGAAACTCCACACACAAAACTATTTAAAATTCTCTTCTCGAGAGAGCACATCTCGAAAAGCCTCGACTCAAACCAAGGACGCAGAGAGCAGGGGTCTGACTTATCACAAGACCGAGAGGGGGGAGCTTAATTAGCTGCAGTAATAGGGTCATGTATCTTCTTAAAGGGTCAGTGTAGTACGAATGCCACACTGCAGAAGGGGTCTTTGGGTTTAACATAGCAGCGAGTGTTGCAGCTGCCAGCAAGTGTTTCCAGGCAACAGTTTGTGTGTGCCTCATATCAGCAAAACATCTTCTTAGCAGGACCGGTGACTGTGTTGGCTGGGTACGTACACACATCTTGAACCCGTAATATCTTACATTACTGACGTGTCACTGTCTGTATGAGGGAATGGTGACAGGAAATGAGTGTTAAGAAGGGTCAGGAAGTAGTTGGTATGCAGGAGGCAAAAGCACTGGCACCAGTTAAGAGCCGATGGCTGAGGTGATTTAGTGCTGCAGGGGAGACCTAATCGATTCCCCAGTCCTCCAGACTGCCACTCTTAGGTCAGATGCACTTAGATATCACACACACACACACACACAGAGTAATTGCGTATGTAGATGGTCTTAAAACCAAAGACACACAAGAAGGTTATTATTCCATTTAGAAGATTGCTGTCTGAGAGATTTATACATTTAGATCTACTGAATAACAATCATTCTTTCAGCTAACAACTGCAGGAAGGAAACGTGTGAGAGCAAACAAGGGCAGCAGATCTGCATGAATGAAGCAGAGAAAGGCCGCAAGGTAACAGAGAGGAAGAAAGAATTTTTAAAACACACTCTAGTAGAGGAAGAAAAACATGACTTGAGGGTAGATGAACTAAAGAAGTCGAGAGCGACTCTAAATACCAAATGAATAAATTCTTTTTGTCAGCAGCCCAAGCACACAGCCCAGAAATGTAATTAAATATCCAGTCGGGTCAGCAAGATGGGAACGTGATCACTTCCCTTCCTTCAAAGTTGGACCCCTCCCAAACCACCAGATCTCATCGCTCCCAACAGCTCACCTCCGCCCCATCTGGAAATCAATCTCTCTCCCTCTAAGAGAGACCATTAAACTGCTAATCTAAAATGCTGTAACAAATGAATGTGCAGCGCTGCTCTGTGCCAGCCGTTTGACTGTTTCTGATCAATAGGCCCAAAAAGAGCAGTTTATCAGAGTGTGTGCAGGGTAACTGGAGGCAAGTTTCTCACAGGAACAATCCATCCATCAATATTTCCCTTGTAATTTCATTCATTTCATTAATGACTGCAATCACGCCGGATCGATGCAGCTAGATGAGTAGAAATTAGTGGACTACTTCATTAATGTCAACAACATTCTGACATTTCGCAGAGTGGCTGTGAGTTACCTGTCCATATTTAGCAGCCAGGTGGAGAGGGGTCCAGAAGTTGTTGTCAGCAGGATGAGGGTCCACTCCACTCGCTAACAACACCGACACCACCTCTCTGTAACCACTGGCACACGCTATGTGGAGCTGCAGAGAGACAGAGAGAAAAGAAAGGTTAAGTTATGACAGCAAAAAGAGGAGGCCACAGTATCTGGTAAAAAATGAGCTGAAGAAAGACAACAAACCATGGACAGGAGAAGAGAGAGACAAAGAGATGCCCACTCCCACACACTATAACACACACTGTGACCTCGCTTACCAGAGTGACCCCATCATCATTGGGCTGGTTGAGGCTTCCCCCTGTGGCTACGAGCTGTCTGACATCAGACAGCATGGTGCTGGGTCTCTGTGTCTTCATGGCATGCATGGATGACACATCCACACCTAAAAAAAACATCACAGTTGACACACATGTTACAGTGTGTTTGTAATTATGTGTTTTAGTCTATGTTGTGTTTAATGCTGTACTTCTGTATTGTGCGTTCTTAGTGTTTTTGGTTATATGACTATGTGATTGTTTTAGTAATAGTACTTATGTGTTGTTTTTGCTAATGTGCCTTGCTCTGTGCTTTTGTCGATGGTTATATGCTTGCTCTGTGCTTACGTGCCCTTCAATGGACATGCCATCAATCCACTTTTATCTGTGCTGATGTGCTTTCGTATGTTATTTTAATGTCCTTTTCTTATATATAGCAGAGAAAGAAAAAGACTCGCAACACTGTAGCTGCTCCCAATAAAAAAATATATATACATTATTTTATCATCATAATATAAAAGGACAATTATACTATGATGATAGAATAAAGTATATATATTTTTTTATTGGGAGCAGCTACAGTGTTGCGAGTCTTTTTCTTTCTTCCTTTTCTTTTATATATATACACATACACCCTCAACCTGCCAGGGGCTGCAGATGAAAATTAGCTTATATGTCTAAATATAGCACATTTATGTGACTTAAGTAATCGAGGTAATTAATGTGCACTGTCCCTTTCTAAATGAAATAAACATAAATATCAATAATGTTCTAAGTGTAAAAAATAAGATGGAATCAGGAGATGGTTAGCTTAGCTTAGCATTAGTGTTGCAAAAATATTGATTTGCCAATACATAGTGATTGACTCTGGTCATTTGAAACAGTTACAGTTCTCATTTTCTGCAGCATTGATTCACCAGTACCAGATGGGCTTTCTTGCTCTCTGTTATTGTTAATGTTTACTACATTTTGCTGTTCTCTGATAATGAGCAAGAAAAGTAGTTGTCATCATATTAAAGCCTTGTTATATTCATCTTTCTATAAAAAAAATTATGCCCTCAATGTAAATTATTGCATTGAAAATGGCATCGAATATTGATATTTCTCTAGGTATTGTATACACATTAGAAATTCCAGTATCGTGACAACACTACTTAGCATAAAGACTTGAAACCAGGGTGTCTACAGGTATGAGACACCTTCATTTAATGCTATTCAAAATCATTTTAACAGATTTTTGAACTTTTTTTTTTAATCATTTTTTTATTCAAGCATTACAGGTAAGTATAAAGATAACTTGCATATATGTAGTCCCATGCAGCGCTAGGTTTTGTGTAGGATCATAGCTATTAGACTGAGTTTGGTGAATCTACATTGTGCCAACAGGTAAGTGCAAGTATAAAGTAAAATGGCGGTGGTGGGTTTAAAGATTTGTAACATCAGAAATGTGAACTTTCATGCAGAAGAAGGAAATCATATCAAAATGTTTGTGGCAATAAAGACCTCATAAATTCAAATTTTCGACTACTTAATGACTTATAAGACCCCCTATCTATAAATTTGAATTCAAGACATTTTCAGACTTTCAGGACCTGCACACACCCTGCTTGAAACAGCCAGAAGCAGCTAGCCTGATTCTGTCCAAAGAAAATTGGCCCACACATCTAAAGCTCATTAATTAACACTTTAAAGTATATCTTGTTCATTTAATCTGTACAAAATCCAAAGTGTTAAGATGATAAGTTGCCATTTTATGGGGCCAAACTATTACTTGCTTGGCATCAATGGTTTCAATTAAGCTTCTCTTACTCTCAGCAAGAAAACAAAAAAGTATATTTCCCAAAATGTCAAACTATTCCTTTAAACCCCAAGTTGAACTGTTTAGAACAAAACTAGTTACTTTACTGACTTTTGCAATATGCATGGGTGAGTTGCATTCAGTGGTCTGACATGTTCTGCATTTAAAGATTTCCCAGTTTGTGCAGAACTGATTTACTCAACAGGATTTGGTTGGAGTTCAGCGTGCTGTTCTCTGATAGTGCTTATGCAGTGTCAGTGCTGAATTACAACACAACTACAGTGTGCAAATTTTAGGGAGGATGATGGCTGTGTGTACAGCACTGACAGTAAAAACACCCACAAACTGACGCCACACAGAAAACCCTCTAATGCTGAAACCAAAGCCTGGCAGATCAAGCGATGGCTAAACGTGATCCAGATGTTGATGACACTTCAATTAAAAAATCAGAAGGTCATCAAATGCTCCTACAGAGCTCCGGTGCCTGACCTGAGCGGTTCAAGGCCACTGTAGCTTGTCTCCTGGGCTGACATTGACAAAGAGAGGTCTACAAAGGGCGTCTAGCCCAAACTATGAAGATCGATGGACTGCTCCATAATCACGTACAGACAGTGGACCTGACTTGGCTGCTGTAATGGAGTGGATTGATTATCAATCAATCTATATTTTACTTGGATAAGCTCTAGGGCACTAACTAATGGGACTTTTCCAAGTTGACTGGTTAGATTAGCCGATCAATAAGTTTGTCTATGCAAATGAATGAGGGCCACTGTGTGTGTAGCTTTTTGAGACATGCTCATAGGAACATAACCATCGCAGGAGAGGATTCTTTGTGACTCGGCGAGGACAATGAGGAGAAAAAACCACCATCTCCTCCCTGATGTAGAGACACATGGACAGTCTGTCTTTTTCCCATAAACTCAAAAAAACTTGATGGGGATAGAGAGTGTACAGCCAAGTTGCTATAGCAACAAAGGCAGAGCGAGCCTGTGTGAGTAAGAGTGTGTTTCATGGCGGCAAAGCCCAGCGTGATAGGGGGGTGTATCAGGGGAGCGGAAGGTAGGCAGGAGGGAGAGATCACCACGGGGGCTGGCAGATAGAAGCAGAGAAAAGTCAGAGAAAATTCAGCGGCTGGGGAGTCAGAGTGAGCCTGTGTGTGTGTGTGTGTGTGTGTGTGTGTGTGTGTGTGTGTGTGTGTGTGTGTGTGTGTGTGTGTGTAGGGTGGTCTGAGCTTTGATGAGTTAGCTGTCTGCAGTCAGGAGCTCGCATTTGTCATGTGAACTCGCGGCCAGTGGCAGATGGATGAGGGAAGACCCTCCATCATTGTCTATATCTGTTCCCGTCTAGCTTTGTCAGCACAGTCCCTGCTCCCCTTTCTCTGTGTGTCTTTCTGTATTTCTCTGGCACCTTTCCCTGCCTCTCCCTCTGTCACTCTGTGTCTGCGCCTCCGCCACGTTCGTCTCTGTGTGCTTCCAACTCTCCTGTGCCTTCATCTCCATTATTCGATGCTCCTGTTTTGACCTTCTCCTTCCACTTTGGGAGACGAGTGTCCCAGTTGCAATCCACCATTAGGCCTGTGGGTGTACTTTACCTTCTCACACACACAGAACACCTTCTGTTTGACGCCACATGAGATATTAACCATTCACATTATCCCTATATTTACTTTTTCCTCACTCTTTCTCACGCTTATTTTTTCTCTTTTCTGAAAGGGTTTTGACAGCATGAAAAAGAGCCACTGTATATCATTAAATCAAACTGTAATGGAGCTCATGATAAAATGTGAAATGTCAAAGTTACTTCTCTGTCTTTCTTTCACTGTGCAACGCAAAACAAATGAGAGGCGCACAGAGCCTTACCATTTTCCTCTAGGTATTTTCGGAGGATATAGCTGGTCTCAGTTCCCTCGGAGGCATAGTCCAGAGGAATGTTTCCGTTGACATCCTGCAGCAGAACATTCACCCCGGCCTTCCGCACGCAGGGCCGCAGAAAGCAGAGAAGACACAAACAGACTGAATTTTAGCCAGGGCCATTCATCAGACTTGAATCAATGATAAAGTGGGCACAATTATCTCGGCTTCCCAGAGGCGTATACCTGAGCAGAACCATGGAGACATTAACAGACAATACAGTGAATTAAAGAACTCATTAAATAACTGCCTGGGGGGGCAGGAGCAGTGAGGAGCGAGGGCGTTGGTTACCGTTACCTGGGTTCATCAGGGTGAGCGTGTGACAAGATTAATGTGTGTTTACTCAACAAGGACCCTGCCGGAGCAGTCTTCGGTTATAGCATGAGCTAACACGGGAGGCCTTCCCCTCGGGCTCTGTTAATGACTGTTACAGTGACGACAGCGCAGTCGTTGGTCACAATATGGTTATGATTGATTGCTTCTCTTTGGAGGAACTCGTTTGCGATGCAAGAAAGAAAATATTTTTAATGCTTCACCAGCAGAGCAGGAATGTGTGAAAGCCATGTGAACTGTACTCATGTGGACTTTCCCTCTGTTCTCCTTTTTATCATCCACTCTTCAGAGTTGGGCACTAAACGTAACATCCATCCTTTCAAGTGGCAATTGTGAGCATCCAGCTATAAATCGCTTCCTGTTGTTTGACTTAACCATAAAAGACAAGCCGGTGTAACGATCGTAGCTGGACCAGGTCTGATAACAGGGACATGGGACTCTAAGTGAGGATCCTTATTGAATATTTACAGCTAATAGAATTCTAACGACCAAGTTGCGGTGCAGCAAAGAGATTTATGACCCAGACAGAGAGGGGAAGGGGTGGGGAAAGGAGAAAAAATGAGAGTAAGAGTACAGAAAATGCGAGGAGAGAGCCAGCTGACAGAGCAACACAAGAGCTGTTAACCTTAGTGCACTAAAAAGCGAGCAGCAAAACCACAAGGACGCCGTGTCTGAACCCCTCAGTGCAACCTTGCAAATCTTAATTGATTTATAAATCACAGTTTTTTTCAATTATGAAAAATGTTTTGCAGATATCTAGAGGAAACCTTCTTCATTCAAGAAATACAGAGCAATTACAGTGCGATAAAGGCAGCACAATGCTGTCAATTACAGTTATCAGAGGATACGTTCTGGTGAGCGTTGCGGTTTTTATTGTGCACCCATCCGTGTCGTCTGGTGGGAGCTGTTTTCGCTTACTTATGAGGGTTAGTTAGGGGTTAACAATGGGAATTAATTAACATTAAGAACTATCAGCTGCTGCTTCGTGACTATTCATGAGAAAATAAGAAACCTTATCGCAACATGAAGCGCAGCTTGAAGAGCAAGAGATGAGATGAGTGAGTCAGAGAGTGCATATTATTATGCCCCCCTCACCCGCCCTCCGCCCACCTCTACACCCACAAACATACACACACACACACACACTCCTCCCCCCCCTCTGTCCCATTTCTCCTAATGTTGAATTTGGACTGCTCCATCTATTTTCCTTAGATTTGTGCTTCGCCCCCAAACAGTAATCAACTTCCTCATAAACCTGACAGCTCCACTCAAGGTGCCTCTGTTAACGCGCCAGTGTGTGTTAGTGTGCATGGTTGTGCCTGAGTGTGCTAACCCAGACAATTCACTTCAAGGTCCAGTAAAAGTCAACAGGGGTCTTGCTGGATGAAGTTATCAGCTGACAGATATATCTTGCTCTGTCTGACCGGAGGCCACTCTCACCACTGACCGCCTCCTACAGCTGCATACACACAGCTGGACAAACCTTGAACAGGATGTCTACAGGTATCAGAAACTTAAATTTAATACTTTTTAAGACCTTTAAAAACAAATAAATAAATAAGATTGATTTTAAGACAAATATTGGTTTCTTATTCAAGCATTGCAGGTAAATACTAGGACTGGGCGATATATCATGAAAATTATATCACAATATTTTTAGATTTTATCTCGAAACACGATATCAAAATCAATGTTGGTTTTTTTAGAAAATATATTTCAATGATACAATGATATTTTGGATCAATAATCATCAATAATGTGGATATAATGACTAAGTGGGTTAAGGTAAGCGTTAAAAAAAAAAGAAAAGTCTAGAAAGTTGATAAATTTTTGTCACTTTACTGTAATGTAGCCCTTAAAGCAGCTGTGCGGAACTTTCCGTTTTTGTTGATCATAGTGCCCCTTTTAGTCGAAGCGGTATGACACCCACAGCCTGGTGTCGTAAAATTCCGACTGCAGCTGGCAATTACCGCATGCATTTGTTTTAGAGAGCGAGAGGAAAATTATGTTCTGGTGTAGCTCTGAATTTCTTATAAACTGAGGACAACTGCCTGCTGTATATTTGTGTTCATGGTCACAGTCGCAGATAATTTTGTGGCGTTTGTTGTAACGTTACTAGACAAAAGCAGTTCATATCAGCTAACGTTTAATTGTTTGCAAAAGCAAAAGCCAACCTCAGCTCTTGTTTGGTGTTTCACCTTACTATGTTTATGTTCTTTTCGGTCCTATGTCTCTTAAATGTCTGCTGGTTATGGCCCAGCAGCTGGTTGCCACCTTTTTATAAGCCCCAGCTTCACCTGAGCACTGTGGGTGTACACGCCTATAAATATCCCAGAACACAGAAATATAGTCAGAGTGCAGAGTCAGATAAATACACTGCCACACAGTTCTAGTGGGTCATAGGAGGTCACTGAGAGGGATAACTTCTGTATGAGTCTGTACATTGTTATTTAGGATAATCCTGCATAGTATATCTTTAAGGACCTGCAGACACCTTGCTGAAATGTATCAGGTGCTTTGAGAATTGTTCTACTAAAATACAAAATGAATGGACAGGGTGCCCACTAGCTCACCTGGTAGAGCAGGCGCCCCATGTACAAAGGCTGTGTCCTTCCTCTTCCAACCCTTAGCCCCCTTGCTGCATGTCATTCCCACCCATCTCCCCTTCCACACCACAACTCTCCTATCAAATAATGGCAAAAAGGCCTTAAAAAAAAGAATAAAAACAGAATGAAATGTGGTCACATTTTACACCAGGACTCCTGCGACAGACTGTAAGTCTTATAATAACTGGACCCTTCAATAAATCATAAGGAAGTAAACAACATAACAATGAGTTTTGTAAAAAAAAAAAAAAATCATGTGAAAATGCTAGACTGGCCTATCAGAGCCCAGTTTTACACAATGTGACTACAATAAAAACCTATCACTACAGAAATAATTGATCTGAAGTTCTCTTAATAACGCACAAAAACCCAAGACCAGCAGACACAGATTATATGAAGGAAGTATGGCGTGTCAGCCACTGATCCAGGGACATTAATCATGTGTCTGAGCTCACATGATAAGTGCTGACAGATATAAACGAGTCTGCGCTGCCTGGCAGCCACACAGGCTGCGAGGGGTTAACAAGTTGACTTCTGACCTCCCGACACGCTCCCTGCCACAATATGATGAATTCACCTCTGATGTCCCCGAGATGGAAATCTGCTTATACTACACAGCCCGTGGTTCATAATGGCAGTTGTTACACACAGTGACTGCCAGAGAATCAATAACAACTAGCAGATATGTGCTAAAAGCTTTCCCCGGGGCAGTCGCACTGTCACAGAGCGTTCCCATGAGATTCTGTTTTTCTTTAGATCTGTTAAGAAATATATTATTTGACTGTCCTTTTAAAAATTGCATGTGTTGGTACAACATAATGCCAAAGCTTTCTCTTATTAATTATTAGCACATTCATACTGAGCATTCTACTATTTAGATTTTCTGGGCTCTATTAAAAAAATGTAACCCAGTGTCAAGGAGCTCTCAAACTTGATTATCAAATAGCTGTAACAAACGTACCAGAAGCAATTGAGCAATGGCCTTATTATTCTCTACTGACTGCACACAACATCTGCTCGGCTGCAATCCACCATGCTGCAGTGTTGCGATGTGTTGCAGACAACAGAGGCTGCCGGAAAAACTGTAATAATCATCTTTTTCTAAATCACCATGAAGCGTTTTTGTCCGCACTTCCTGTTATTGCGCATTGAGAATCTAAAGCTGAGGACAATTCTTCACCACGACATAAAAGATCTGCTCAACAAATAGAGGATTTTGTTACACCTGGTTAATAAAATGCATTTAAATTAAAACATGAACATATTGAAATAAAAATCTTGCATCCATGTGAAGGTTTGTACATATCACAGACCACAGGAATGTGCAACAACTGCTTAACAAACCACTGTCATGTTTAGGGGAGGGAGGGAGGGCGACATTATCAACAGAAAACTCCCCCAAAATTCAACTGGTGTGAAGTGGAGTTCAGTGCAGCTGGGGGGCTCGCTGTTAATCGTTTGACTTCAAAGCAGTCGGAGTTCAGACGTTTTAAATTCATCATTTACAAGCAAGGAAAGTAGGTCACTTCTACAACTGTAACCCCACTGGGTTTTTGAACTGTAAGATGAGAAATAGCATTTTGGAACAGAACCTGTCTCCCAGGGATCAAATGATTGCATTGCTACATCTTCCCTGTGCAAGTTTAGAGACTAAAGCGAGTATCTTGCAGAGAAGTACGATATGAAGGAGAAGAAAAGAAACAATTTAAAAAAAAAAGAAAATCAGATGAAGTGCATCGGTGGTAAACAGTTTAAGGCAGCAGACTCATTTTTATGTTCTTCCAGAGTCCGTATTTTCAACACCATGAACTTTCTCTCAAGGAGACAGTGAAGCGGAATTAGGGCAAGTCTGCAATTAACTGAGAGAGTTTCATAAGGAACGAAATTAGGAAGACATAATTGAGGCACTAGAAAAAGTAAAATTTGATAAGTATCTTGTGGTTTGTGGCTTCAAATAGAAAGCCAGATAATGTGTAACACATGGAGATCAAGAGCCTCTGCTGAAGCATCGTGATGCATGTGTATGAGCCAAGTCCAACTATTCCAGACTATGTTAAAATAAATATGAAAGCTGGATTTGGTTTTGTTTGTCACCGCTGCACATTACACTAACACTGTAGTATTTTTGCAGAATCACTCATGTTTTCATATGTTACGAAGCAGTCCACTGTGCCTCTGAGCAGCCCGTTAAACCTGCCAGGGTCTCATTGACCAACATTAACCAGAGCTGGAGCTCGGAATAGGTTTAGGAATGCATTTGGAAATGGGTTTGGGAATGAGACAGTTTAGAAATGGCTTACTCCCTCTCCTGCTGTTTGGAGGCAGGAGATAAGAGAATTAGCATTACTGCCAATCCGGACACAGAGCGACAATGCACCCAGACTTCTCATCAACCCCCCCCTTTCCCCGCAAGACAAGCCGGGTAACATCTCTGTCAGCAAAAAAAACCTCTCTGCTTCTCAATGAAGGAACTGGAGACAGGAAATCAAGGGCAGAGAAGCAGAGGACGAAGGGAGGGGAAGCAGAGACAGAGATGGAGGAGTAGGACACAATAGATTAGAACATATTTAGCAGCACTATTCCTTCCTGTGCCAATCAAAGATAAAGCTGCCAGTCAAGCTCCTCTGGCGAGACCACTGTTCCACTTCTCATTAAAATGTAAACCCGTTGCATTTGGAGGGAAAGATCTCCCATTTACAGCTCTGATAAGGCAGCAGCTTGAGAACAGAACAGAATGACTGGGCACTGGCAGAGTCTGTGGTGGAGGAGATGGATGTCAAAATGAATGAATAGTGGAAAAAGGATATTGCATCTCTATCGAAAATACAGTTGGACTGAAGCTATTTTTAACCTTCGACAGGAGGGGCATCAGGCCTGCCTGCTGACTACACCAGAAAGAGGAACTCAAGTGCTTATCTTACTCTGAAGAGAAAAAAATACTTCATGCAAATGTGCATCATTTTGCAAATTAATATATTTCGTCTCACATCTTACTTGGCCTGCCTCTTCATAACCACATAGTGTCACAATCACACAAGCTTGCACGAGGGCACACTCGCACGCAAGCAGACGTATACGCAGTCAAATAAATAAGCACTTCGTGTCAAAGTACACTGAAGCTGTGAAAGCTTTGGTGTTGCTAGAGTGAGCTGGAAAAAATGAACTTTTCACAGTGTTGAATGAGTTTTTGTTGAATTTCTTAGAAATTTTCTGTGTCTCTCATTCTTTACCCCCTGCTCTCTTCCAACAGGGCTGAGTTTTGTGTAAATATGACCTCATTTACTAGAGACTAGCTCTGTCTTGGTGGTGAAAGGGAGACATTTAGTTACTGCCTCCCAGGGAGCAGTATTAAATCTCTCTCTCTCTCTCTCTCTCTCTCTCTCATGGTATTGCCTATCATGAAAGCATACTCGCTGCATAAATTGCATTTGGCGTATCTATATCACACCCTGCTCTACAAACTAGAAAGCCTGCATGAATCTTGGTGTATTTGCATGCATTTAATTTCTCTCGAAGCAAACATACACATGAACCAACAGTCACGCAGTCACTACAGGCTGACAGATCCACTCTGCCTGGCAGCTCTTCAAACACATCCATTCCTCCCAGGATCGTCTCTTTCCTGCCCCGCAGACTGAAAGTCAGCAATCGCTCAGGAACTAATCAGCAGAACCCGGCTGTACTGGATTCTATGGAGCTCCAGACTGCAGTTAACCCTCACTGGGTCTAATCAACACCAGCAGAACACACCCGGCCCACTGAGTGACTGGGCTGAGGATATGCATGCCCTCCCCTGCAGCTGGCCCTGCTCTCGTTATGGACCTAATCAGTACAACTGCAGCTCTTGTCAAGACAGACCCGACAAGAGCTGGAAATATCCTCCACAGAGCTCGCTCTCTCTTTGATTTCATGCTAATGCCCAAATTATAAATATTCCCATTTTCGGTGATTCAGCTGGGTGTGTGAGAGAATGGAAAGACGTGTTTCAGACCCTCTGTAATCCAAAACCCCTCATCAATGAGGGACGCTCCACTTGGACAGAAAAATCTGGATGACTAATGTGAATACAGCCAGTGGTACAAAGCTGATTCGAAACAGGAGTTAGTATGCCGACCCATTCCAAAACACTAATCTAATTTGTAGCCAACATGCTTGGAATTGCAAGGCTCAACAAGAAAATGACTAAATTACAAAATGTCCATGCATGCATGTGTGTGTGTGTGTGTGTATATATTTGCAGGTGTGTTTCTTACCAGCAACAGTAGCAGCACCACATCCGCATGGTCACACACACACGCTACATGCAGGGCCGTCCACAGGTCTTCGTCCTGCAGGTTGACGTTCAGGCCTCGCTCAATCAGAAGTTCTGCCGCGAACACGTTGTCATGGCGAGCGCACTGCAGAATGCAAGCACAGGAGATTTCCTTATAATCAGTTTGCAGAACAGTACATGTCCTGAAGCATTGCTTACTACTAACAGCACACATGAGTGGTTCAGCTCATAATAAGTCATGTATGTGAAAAAATGTAATGTGCAGCAATTGTAACATTACATTCTTGTATTCCCACAGGGGTAACACGTTAGCCAGAATTAGCAAAATGCTAATGATAAAGGCATGGAGAATGATTATATATTGACTCCAACATGTCATCCTTCCTGATATTCCTCAGCCATTCGTAGTACAATGTGCACACCCTGCCAGTACTTTTTCTTTATTTTGTTGTGACACACACACACACAGGGGCTACTTTTCAAATTAAACAATCATCATCTATACTCAGTCAAAAAGCTTTTTCTTACTGAATAATGAAAAGCAAGATTTAGGTAAAGTATGGAATAGGGAATGTAGCAGTTTTGGTTGGGTTGAAAGGTCTTCACGTGTCCAAAATGATACACTCAAACCCGGGAAATTCTTTTTGAGATCTGATTGGATCTGATATTAGATTCATACACCCAACCTGTTTTTGGCCAAGATGTTACAGACCCAACCCTGTCGATGCCCAAGAGCCAGGTCTTAGGTCTCTCTCAGGTCTATTTTATGGACTGGACATTCATGCATTCATTTTCTGTATCGCTTATCCTGTTGGGGGTCATGGGGGGCTGGAGCCTATCCCAGCTGACATTGGGCGAGAGGTCGCCAGACTATCACAGGGCTGACACATAGAGAGACAACCATTCACACTCACGTTCACACCCACGGTCAATTTAGAGTCACCAATTACCTTGCATGTCTTTGGACTGTGGGAGGAAGCTAATGTACCCGGAGAAAACCCACACTGACATGGGGAGAACATGCAAATTCCACACAGAAGGGTTCAAACCAGGGACCCTCTTACTGTGAGGCAAAAATGGTAACCACTGCTCCACCGTGCTGCCTGTTGTTGTGATGTGAGCTGTTGCAATGCCTTAATTTCCCTGGCTCAGGGACACATAAAGTACCTGAGTTTACCGTATCCTCCTCTGATCCCCCGCTACACACACAGCATATCTAAGTTTTTCTCATGATTGGTGCTAATCATGGCTGCACTTGGGTAACACACATACTGTAATGATAAACAGACCTGGAATTAGAGGTAAAAGAGTAGGACCCCACCCCGACCCAACTGACTAAATAGGTAAAATTCATGGGTCAAGGTCTCTGGTCCTCAGGTCTGGGTAGAGCCGTGAAAACCTGTAGCTGCAGGGGATGAATGTAAGTCAGAATAATGTCCTTCATAACTGTAAAAAAAAAAGCTGCACAAATGAGTGTGTGTGTATCTTACCAGGTGTAGCAAGGATCCCCCAGAGGAAGTTGGAGTGTTGGGGTCTGCTCCCTCCTTCAGGAGACGCAACACTGCAACACAACACACATTCATATGTTAACACCTACTGTGAGTGAAGACGGGCAGGGCGCTTAGGGCATGTAGTGAAGACACATTAACACACACACACAGACAGCACAGAGACTGATCTGTGCCACTCACAGACACAACCAATATTTGTCGAGTGTCCTCTGACTGTCCTTGACACATCAGCGTGGATCAGTGTCAAGGCTGTGTGTGTGTGTCTGGTGGCTCCTCGTTCCAGCAGCAGGTCAGAGAGCCTCTGGGTTACACACACTCACATCACACACTGTAAGCTCCAGTGAGCCACACAACACACTCACACACTGACACAGATTTACGGAAGAAAACACAAACCACTACAAACAAGTTCACGCAGTCAGCCATAAACAAACGAGCAGAGAGTCGAAGGCTAAGCAAGGTCGCAGCGATTTTACTATACCACTGATATATTATTTATTCGGCATGCACAAAAAGTGAATGAGGACACTCAGGAAACAGAGAGAGAGATAGTGTGTGTGTGTGTGTGTGTGTGTGTGTGTGTGTGTGTGTGTGTGTGTGTTAACTGGGATGTGTGACAGATACGGAGAGCAGGATGGACAAACAAGTGAGGGGAGCGAGGGGAGAGAGAGGTGGAGCGCTGTGGTTTGGACATATGTGACTTCACTGACACTGACAGCACTGGATGGTATACTGACTAAACCCTGGAAGACCTTCTACCAGCAAAACAGCCACCACTGTCACGCAACCCCACCACACACACACACACACACACACACACACACACACACACATACACCGATGTCTTTAAGCAAAGCAAATGGCTCTGAGAACAGTTACCATGGTAATCACAGTGGTGATAATTCCAGCCACTTAACACTGTTGATGACCCCCATGAGGTCATTTCACTTAAAGGGTCATTATATAGACAGACATGCTTAAATAAACTCACCCACACACACACACACACAGACACACTGGTTAAGAATCCTGTGCTCATCTGAACACACAACCACTACTGATAAATATCCATATAAGAAGACCATTTTAATTTTAAGTGGTGCCATACTGTTTACTCCACACAGGGGATAAATATAACAGCAGTGCACATAATAGTATGCAATACAACTAAAACACAATATGGCCGATAAAACTGCATATGCAGTATTTAAATCTCCTTTGACTCAGTCTCAACGGTAATTGATCGTGTATCTCTCTATCTGTGACTCGCTAACCTTCATTAACAAGCTACAGCTTTTACACTGATGTCTCCCCCACAGATCAAATGCCAAACTCTCTGCTTCTGTCAGATCCTACAAATGTTTAATCACGACTGCAAGCATGAGCATGAAATGGTTTCTAAGTTACATCTGCAGCAGGTAAAACTAATGAAGTCTTACATAAAAACTCTGCAAGAAATACGATGTAATACTGATCTTAGAAAGTTGGTTAAACATGATCATACACTTCAAGAGCACCGCAAACTATAGCCTCTAGAACATGTATGTAGCCTATAGCTAGATGAAGTTATGTGTTTTAATCATAACAAAAAATGTATTCATCATGTAAATGCAAATAAATGGAGTGACGTCTGCGAGTTAGTTCAGGCAGTCAGCTCGAGCTGCATTGATTCATACACACACACGTCATACGTCACTCTCCATTTGTCTTCTACGAAAGACACCCTCCCAATGTGGCAGTCTATTTAAGCTGCAAAATCTTCCCAGCTGTCCCTCTGCCATGTGTATGCCGCCGCTGCCCTGCATCAGTATTGCTGCTTGCTTGTTCAGCCACACCTCAGCCTCAGCATCCATCTACAGGCTCCGGCTTTACGTCTGGAACCTCCCGTCTACAACGGGCTTGAGTCGCGTCCTTGTTAAGGACTTGACTCAGATTGCGGAGTTACTCTCTTATCCTGAAGCCCCCTTAAGGAATCTGATCCCGTTTGATTCTGCAGTGGGAACCTCTTGCGACCGCATGACTTTGCTGACGTTGACTCCTGCAGGATTCGAATCCTTCCACATTGATCTGTGCGGAGTGATGAGGCCATGGTCTAGATGCCAAAATTTAACTATGTTCTGCTGATTAAATAAAGATTTAAAACATTAGTTGTCTGACTGAACTAGTATTGCCAGTGACATAAGTTTGTAAGTAAACAGTTGTATGCTATCCCATTTAAGGGTCAACCCCTATGTCCTTGGGCTGATGTCATCTGTTCCCTTTGTTAAGTGTGGCCTATAAAAAGCTTTTATTTTAAGAGTTGAAACAATTAATTAGTTGACCAAAAGAATATTAATCAGCGCATTTTAATAATCAATTATTTCTTAATTAGGAGGACAAAATTCCAAATATTTGTTGGTTTAACATTTTCAAATGTGAGGGCATGCTTTTTTTCATAGGACAGTCCAGAGGTCGGCAACCTTCAATATCAAAAGAGCCGTTTTTGGCCAAAAAAAATAAAAAAAATAAAAAAATAAAAAAATCTATCTGGACCCACAATATATATTTGTGGCTTATAATGATGGCAACACAGCCTATCTAATCTAAATTAGCCTATAAACATTCCTAATTGGTCTAAATGAGCATTCATTAATATGTTTTACAACAAAGCAGCTACACTGCAGTGGGCTATTTGTGATTATTTGGTATTTAAACTTCACAGTGTTAGTGGTGAATCAATAGCTAGCATCACTAAGGAGACACATTTGTACAATTGGAAAGTGCAAGAATCACTTAATGGCTACTAGAATGATAAATGAAAATTAAAATGGTAAAAAATAACATTGATTTCCATATAATTTTTTGTCAAAGCCACAGGGAGCCACTGGAGAAGAGCCGCATGTGGCTCCTAAGCCAAAGGTTGCCGACTCCTGAGATAGTCAATTTACACCCTTTTTCCATTGTCACTCTTGGCCATGCCGCAACAATTTGTGTTTCCAATGTCAGTTTAGACGCACCATGCCACACCAAGCCGCACCAGAGATGGACCTTCTGAGAAGTAGGTCCAAAAGCTGGAACACCCGCCCTCAAGCAGGTGGCGGTAATGAAGCCCTACTGTTTTTGTCTGAACAACAGTTTTAAAAACAGCCAAATTCTGACAAGTACTTAATATACAAAGATTTGATGAAGGCAAAGTATTAAATAATAGGCTGTAACCAGCAAATGCCTGGCATGTTTATTTAAGAAATGACTTACACGTTCATCAATTATTAATACTGTCATTAGTTAATTCTCTGTCTGTTGACTAATCAGTAAATTGACTAATCATCTGAGAAGTGCTTGTGCACATAACAAACAGGCCAAGCTCACACTGTGCACAGACATTTCCCCACTCTTCTAATGGCATTCAGTGCTTAATGGCCTTTAAATGGTTGATGAGAAACAAACTGGCCAACCTTTCAGTCAATCAGCACAATTACCTCCTGCCTCCACAACATACAGTCGGGGCTCAAACTGTAAACCACCAATTAAGGTTCATCTAGCACTGAAGTCGTTACCAGGGAATAGACAATGTTCTTGCTTTCCTGTCCATCAAACAGTATATCACTGGGCTGCTCATTAATGTGAATGTGGACCAGCCATTTTTAAGCATGCGGGGTGTCACATGATTTGCTTCTTAACAAAAATGAACAGTTTGGTGAGTGTCAGTGGTCAGGAGAGTGTCATATGTTAGAGCCAGTTTTTCTTAGTCTTTGATATAAGAACCTACCACAGTTTTATGGCACATTATTGAATGTGTCTAAACAGAGGTCAGGAGTCAAGAGCTACATATTGACCCTCAGGCAATTAAAGAAAAAAAGATAAGCGTTTGTCTAGCGATATGGCCATTGGTAATCAATGGTGCTGTTGTACCATTGGCAGATTTGTCAAAATCAACTACTGTTCTAGTTTGTTTGTGGAGCCCAGGTATCCATTTTGTCTGTTTGCTTTGCTTAGCTTAGTGTAACTTAAAGAATAGGCTCCCTTTTTCAAGTCTGTTTTAAAATAATATTCAGGAATTCATATGAACACTGGAACAGGTTTTGCTTGATTTACCGTAAAACTTCAATTAGTAGTCCAGGGATTTTAAAAAGCAGCATTCTGTGGGACTGAAAAATTAAGCCAACGCAGGAGTGCCAAAAAAGTCCAATGGCCACTTGAGGCTGGCTCTAAAAGCGAGTCAATCCCCATAGACACCCATGTTAAAATACTCAACTGTACAGCACAAATAAACATGTTTACAGCCTAGTGCAAAAAAAAAAATAGTTGGGGTCTGCACAGCCAATTTAAAACTTCGTGACAACTGTAGGGGGTGTGTGAATTTTTATGCAACTCACTCATTCAAATTTTCGTAAGGTTTAAAATTATGCATAATAAAATGCAGTGCTGCTTAAAGTAACAGGCTTTCTGCGAGGCCTCACTACAGTCCGAGTCAGATCCACCCCTTGCCAGTTCACAGCAACCCCTCTCTTCCAAATTTGGTCACCTTGGGTCACTTTTGGCTCCAAAAATCCATGACAGCTATGGCCAAAATGCCGAACTCAAAGCTTCAAAATGGGAGTTAACAAACCAGTGGCTATGCTCATTATTTTTTTTATACTCCATGGATTTTAACCACACAGAGGGAGAGCCATATGTCAGTCAAGTCAATACAAGGATAGATACAAACGACTTTCTTGCTTTGAAGCTCTGTTGCTGCAGGAAATGGCAACTAGTCTGAATGGCTTAAGGTGAAGTCCAGCTGTGTTGATAAATACCAATGACTGCATATTAAGATAGACAGCATGACAGCTTCCCAAAACATCTAGGTGGCTGCAGTATACTGTAGGTCATAAACCCCATCCCCTCCAAATTAGCAGTGGTTTCTGTCATTTTGGGTAATTATTATCATGCTGATGTACGTTTTTCTGAATGGTTTGATTGTAATTAAAAGATATTTGATGCAATGCAAAAGGGGTTTGACGGCATATTGGTGTGCCTTCAATCAATGGCGCTGCCCAGATTGGGTCAGAAGAATGTTTGGGCCAGAACT